GCCGTAACCGCGGGTACGGCTTGAAATTTTTCGCGGGTACGGCACGAATTTCCGGGTACGGCCAGAATTTTTGAGCGGGTACGGCTTGAATTTCCGGGTACGGCTTGAAAGGAGTTTGATGGGGGTGGGTGCAGGACTCCTGCGGGGCCGCCTGTCTCCATCGCCGTGGGCTGGTTAGATTCGACGGGCTATTGCCGCCAGTAGGCCGAGTAGAAATGGCCCTAGCCCCGCAGTATTACCATCCAGGTTTGAGGAAGTTTATTCACATTTTCTGCCGGCAAAATGTATTTGGGCGCCGGTGACAGTACATGGTGCCGGGCGCCGGTGACAGTACAGGGTGCCGGGCGGACTCGCAGGCCGGCTACCGTCAACAACCGGCCGCGCGGGGTCTCTCAGTCCGCCGGAAACACCCGATTATTCTCCAACCTTCCCTTCAATTGCGACAATGGAAACTTTATATCATGAAATTGAGTTATATTTTGTAGAAATGTGGCAAAAACGGCTCAGTTTTCTGTCATATTCCGCGATACGAACTGTTTATACTACGAGAATAGCCACTCCCGGTTGCCGCGGCGTTGCCGCTCGTTTCTCAGAAAATTGTGCATTCTGCAAACTCGGAGACCGTGAACTCACCAAAAAATACGACAAAAACTTCAACATACGGCTTTTCTGTTGAGTGGTATTTATAAGCAATCTAAAATGTACGACAGAACCGCTGAAAACTTATTGAAAATACTTAGCGTTTTCTAGAAAAATAAACATTTGTGTTTCAATCAAGTAAAATTGGTAACCCCCAAGAGACCCTAATTTCGGCCTGTCAAACCCGGAAGTGCGAAATCGGGACCACCTGTAACAGTTAGGAGATTTAGCCCACTCGCGGATTTGGGCTATTTGGGAATGGCCAAACCTCGGAAACTCGTAAGGGGGTTTCAAGTTTTTACGGAATTTTTCATTTTATGACTTTTTCCGCGGGTTAACTCGCCAAAACTGATTGTTTATTTTCTGTAGGATTTAATTAAATAATAAGTGACAAGTTATTGAAATTGTCGTGGTTTTTTAGAGTAGAAAATTATTTTATTCTTGAACTGATTTTCGTTTATCTACTTCTTAGGTTTAATTCTGTTTGTCAAATACATGCTTAAATACAAAGAGTGACTCATTTTACACACGATACCGCAGTGTTTTTGTAAAACTAACCATTTTTTAAATGTTTTGCACCTATTTCTAAACAGCGACCTGACAATAATACATGTAAACTGTCACTCCGCCATCTTTGATGCGTTACACCAAATTTACCCTGGTTTCACGCTTTGTTTGACAGAATTCATGTCTGACGTTTCCTCATTACCACTATCTTGTGGAATTTTGATAACCTTCAAGTGCAATCGTCTGCTCAACATCGACTTTCTTGTACACGCGCCTTCGTTCTATCTCCGCCACGTTTAACGTTAATTCTATATAATCTCCAAGCAGATGTTGGGAGTTCTACCTAATCTCCAAGCAGATATTGGGAACCAAACGTTTTCCCAGCTGCCGGTTTCTGTCACAATCTGCCTGTTAGAGAGGTGGTTTGTAACAGAGAAGGGCAGCTAGAAAACAATACGATTTCTACTTGTAGATTATGTTAGATCCAGGCATTTTAGCAGGTTTCTATTTCAATTTTCCATACTTTCCTGGGAAGACTCCCTGCAAATTGGTCTGTTACATTCTTTTCTTGTTAAACATGAATCAGTGATCCTGTAGACTGAAAGAGCTTGTTGTACTGAGTGGACAGAACATACGCACATATCCTTATAATCAAACTCAATGGCTATGTCATGATCATAGTAAACATGCAGACAAGAAAATTTCAAAAGCTTTAATTTCTTAACATGATGAGCCACATTTTTTTTTACAGCAGTGGTGTGCGCTTTCCAGTAAGATATTTTTTGCTATGGTAAACTGAGGCGTAAACAAATTTCCTGCAACTGGTACAAAGCATAAACAGTGGCCCAGTGGTGCCTGTTGTATAGTTTGTAACCACACAGTGCTTCAAATTAAGTCTAGGCAGCCTTTTGCTATCTGCCAATGAAATTAGAACGAATTACAATGTTTCTTTCTCAGAACTTAATTTCAACAGAATTTTGAAGTTTCATGTCTCTTGACTAATTAAGGGTCAGTCATATATTGAAAAATATCATTAACACCACTTGAATGACAAAAACATGACTGTTTTACATTACTAGTCAGTCTGCAATTGTTTAAAGGCCACCATTTACGTTTACCTTGGTGTTTTATATTCAAGGAACCTCTGCACACAGTACAGCTAACAAAATGTACCTCTGGATGAAATCTTGCACCACAAAAAAGGAAACAATAATTCTAATTTTCCTCTGCTGCGGTGCAAAGTTGACTCAGGTTTCAAAAGAGCGAATTCTTAACATGAATGTTCAGTGTTACATCAGTATTTCACTATGAAATGAAAGTCATAACACACAATGATGCCTGGGTTGCCTTACAAAATTACAAGAATGAGGAAGTGTTTAAGTGCTTATGACTTATTCTTAGTTTCCAAATAATCAATATTCACATAAAGTACAAGATACAAAGATTATTGAATAATATACAAGAAACCTGTCTCTTCATTCTCTAAAGGTTAGCATTATACGTGTCAGTGGCTTTATGTTCAAGTCATGAATTAACAATGAATTAAAGGGATTTCAAATCAATTCAGATCAAATTATAACAATTACTCATCTTTTTTCAAATTAAAGTACATGTAGTAATTTTACAAATACCTCTGTTGGAACTATAAAAATTCTACACAGTTATTCATGAATGATTTAATTTAATGATACAAGGAACCATAAGTAGCAAAGAGCACCAAGTATATATATTTGTGCTTGTCTTTCACCTGTTAAGTTGCATTAAATGTGCATTTGAAGCAGTTTTGGATCAAGCTAGGCAGACTGGATGATTACGTATTGATATAGCCGCATTTTAGCCAAAGAAAACAAGATAGAAAAACCTAATTTCTTGAAAATAATGAGTATGGTGACACATGGGCTTAAGCCAGCATCAAACAACTTAAAAATATGTTCTAAGGGACATTTGAGCCCCCTGCTATGTGGTAGGGTAGATTTTCCAGACTATGCTTGATTTTCTGGCAGTTTTGAAATACAGCGACTTTCCTGCAATCACCAAAAGGCCATTGATGCAAGCTTTAGAAAGATGCTTGCTTAGAATGATCACATACTTCCTAACCAGTTGCATATTGTTGGCAAGTATAACGTCTACGACCCAGTCAAGTAGCATACTTGGAAGATTCTAGGATACAAAGATATATATATATAACTCCACAACTCTGTCCATTCAAGCCTCACCAAGGGTGCGGCATACCACTACATGTACATTTTTGTATACTGGAAAGTTGCATCTTTTCTATTTTCACAGAGACCTTTATAACCGAGAAGATGCCAATGAAAAATAAGTCAAAACATATTTTTTTTAACACTTGAGCAGCATTTTCTATTTTACACTCACCATATAGAACTATATTGCACACAAAAATAGTGGGCGTTTACACTTTTTGGGGAAAATACAAGTCCTACATGTATACACAACTAGGCTGACTACATACACATAAAGCAAAGACATGTTCCACTCCTATGTCACATGTAGAAGTAAAACGGATTTCATTTTCATCTGTGGTATAAAGTGGAAACAAATTTGTTCATACTCTTTAACTTTCTTCCAACACACATGCAAAAATTCAGACTCAACAAATTTCTTGGCAGTTACTGAGGCCTTCCTCGGGGCAAATGACCCACTTTGATCATGTGACAGCAGTATTTAGTCAAAGTTCAAAGAAGTCTCTGACACAGTACTTTTGACACATATCCAAGAGTGGGTTAGTTGTCCTGACTAAGACCATAGTGACATCTGAAATTTGTTCAGTCTTAATAAATCTTTCAGTATTGGAGAACAGTTTCACTCAATTATAACATCACTCCCCAACACAGATGCTCTTTAACCAACAGTCATTTTGATAGAAATCTGTCTCACACATAGACTTCATCATGCTAGCATCCTCAAAGCATAACAACAAAATTCAAAGTCTAAAATGAACTCTCGTAGGACATCAAAGTACACGTAGGTAGCCCATAGGGCGTCTGAAGAGTGGTCACTCCAATTCACAAACTGTACAAGTTCCCATATCAAACAATTGAGATTTCAGCTTTTAACATGTACATGTTTCAAAACAGAAGCTGCTCGTGTGCTATGCTACTGACGACCCCCCAAACGGATCGTTCTGGTCTTCGTATAACTGTATTCCTGACGGAGATAGCAGTCCTTTCTTCTCATCCGAACTTGTTAGAGAGTTTGAGCTACCGCTGGCTTCGTTGTAAAGACAGTCGTACACGGGATTGGAGAAGTTAGTTGGCTGGAAAGAAAGGGAAATACGGAAGGTTACATAATGTGTGTTCAGGGTGCTGACTAATATCGTGGACATTAATGGTGCAAAATGTATAAACTGAATTAACATCTAGGTGGAGGATTATAACTGGTTGTACAGATAGGGAACAAAACAGAGAAAACAATTCTAGTGATGGGACTATAAAAAAATAATACAATCAGACACACAACAGAATTATGTGGTGAAATAATAAAGCTCAGATTTGTATAGCCATGAACAAGCATTACTGAAATGATACGGCATGTTATATAGTGCAACATGTAAGGGAACTGTTTGTGAGATTAATTAGTTTTGATATTTCATGGTGGATTATGCAACTATGTGTGCAGAGGACAAGTACTGCAATGTGTGAAGTGAAAGATGACAGGTTTTAAGACCTCCAAGCATGAAACAAATTAGTTGGTATTTCACTGTGGATTCCTATTGTGTGCTCAAGACTACAGTTCTGTAGTTGTGCAATGTGCTGAATATACATTGTCACAGTGAGAAGTGAAAGAAGCCGGGTACCAAGAACTCCAAGCGGTATTTATCGTCCTCAACCTGATGAAGTCCAGAGGGAGCACAGGGGACAGGAGAAACAGTCTGGTAAGGGCAAGCAGTATTAGGTAACTACATGCATATATGGTTGTAAGAGAAGGTATTATCAGATGTAGGTAACTACATGACTGCAAGAGCAGGCATTAGGTAATTGTTTATACCGGTAAGCTGCAGTTATGTTGCTTGTGCATTATTTGTAACTACATGACTGTAAAAGCAAGCATCAGGCAGCTGTATGCACTGTATGAGTTGCAGTTATGTAAAAGCATTATGTTTAACTACATGACTGTACAAGCAGGCATCAGGCAGCTGTTTATGAGTTGCAGTCATGTAAAAGAACTGCTGAATGGCTTAAATTGTTTTAGAAAAGGAACAGGATGATAGATTGTTTAGTACACTTTGTACTTTAAGACGTTTAGGTTTAAAAAGAGTCAGATTGTAGATTGTCACTACACAAGCTGCAGCTACAGCTACAATGTAAAAGGGCTTAGTTGAATGGCTCAAAGATGTTTGAGGAAAAGAGTGAAATGCTAAGATCACGTATCATGATAAAGAATAAGAAGTATCAGTTTGATGCCTCCATGTCTTTCTCAATGTCTTTGTGTCTTTCTCACTTTTTTAGACCCTAATCTATAGCATGATTCCCATCCAGAGTTAATGATGGATCTAGCTGTCCTTTTCACTTCTCTAGACACAGTTCTGACTGAATGCCAGTAGCTGTAGTAAGCCCTAATATACATTGTGCATGTACATACCTTGTCTGGATCCAGTGTTAATGATGGATCTAGCTGCTCTGTTTCATCGTCCTCTTCCTGGTCATACAGGAACGTGGGGTTTCCTATCTCCACATTGTTGGTCATCCTCTTGTGCTGGAACATGGTTCTGTAACGCACAGGATACACACAACAACTTCAGTCAACAACACAGAAGTACTGAATATGTCACTGGCTGAAATAGGACTTTTCTACAAGCAAGCTTTAACATGAAATCATACACAACAGCGAACTACATGCACTGTATAAAATCATTGTCAGTCAGTCAGTTGTTAACTAAAATCTTTGAATACACGTAAGTACTGTATTTACTCCAACTGCTACACAATCCGAATAATCAGTTAAAAACTGTACTAGGATGGAAAAATTGACTGTGAATGAACAGCTATACCACTAAGGCACTAGCTCAACTGTTAAGGTTTCTCTTCTCAAAAGAAAACTGTTACTCAAACTACTGGATAGATTTCAAAACCTGTCAAATAGACCTCTCAAGTAGCATCCTCTACTTTTCATCAGTGACTAAAAGTAGTGGATGCTACTTTAAAAATCTGACAGTTTTTTAAATCTTTCAAGTTGCTTGAGTAACAGTTTTCTTGATGAACATCTCATTACCTGGATGTCTAACCTTCATCAACGTATTAAGGTTTCTTATTTTTGGAAATTGTGTGCAGAAATTGGAGTTTATACAGCACTTTAATAGGGAACAACACTACATTCATTATCCTACAGCACTACTCTTCTTGACAACAGGCTAAGTAATAAAGAAAAGAGGAAAGGACCAAAATAAAAGGGGAGTGAAAAAAGCAGGGGTGGATGAAAGGAAAAGAAACCTGACTACTGACTTCAGCTCAAGAGCTTCCACTGTTACTGGGAACCACCCTGATCTAAAGCACGAAGAGACAAGCTTGGTCGGACAGAGTGGTTTCCATGTGAGGGTTTGTACCAGTGAGTGAGATGGGTTCTCAGGGCTCGAAATACATTTTTGTGGGGTTTGGATCAGTATTACACATTGCACAATCAGTAGACATATCAGTCTGAATTTTGCTGGTATTTACAAAGATTGGCTGCAAAAAATTTACATACAAGATCGCAATTTCTTTCCTGCACTGGTGCAGGTAACATACCAAACTACCTGCACCTGCAAAAGTTTTACCTAGACAAAAGACCACTCATTTTCTTAATCTTTCAGCATGTCACAGTATGTTTGAAAATGTTTTCCAGTAGTACAATGACCATGGCTACATGTACATGTACATGTACATTATGAAGAATGCAAGGTATTTTGGAACACTAGAATAGGATGTCACACAAGTGTTTCAAGCTGATTTGATCATCATAGAAAAGTGCACGTTATATGCAGTTAGACATTAGAAATGCCTGCACAGCTCCAGCTTGTATTTCGAGCCCTGTTTTTAATGTATGCATGCAAAAGTTCCTTTTGTGACACTGTTACAGTTTGTAACTGCTACCCTCTCATGCTTTTACAAAGTTATACAAACCACAGAAAAAAAGTACTACAAGAATGGCACAAACAGCATTAAGTTTAAGTTCTTAAAGAAATGAAAGTAAATACACATTTTACATGTACATAAAAAAATATCACAGCTAATAATTATATAGAAACTTTCTTACATTTTATAACACTTATTCATCTAGACATTATTTTGCATTATGTGCCTTTTATCCAAGCAATTTTCTTACAACACATATTGAATCGGATAAATTTCATGTCCACAACTTAAGTCCATACCTTGAACTTCTCTTTCTGTAGAAGCAGACACCACAGATGACAGCGATGATGATGAGGGCTAGGACAACTGGAACTGCAATGGCAGCAGCAGCTGAAATACAACAACCATGCAACATTTGAATAAAGGAAAAGGCAAAACAGTGTGCATTGGGTACATGAAACAGCTGAAAATTCAATAGCTAGACTAAGTACTGTGTCATAAAAAAGAGAAAAATCTTGCATGTACATGTACAAGTCAATACAGTCAGAACTGTCTACAGTGGTCACTCATGTGACTGAGAAAATTTGGCCACTATGGCCAGGTGACCAATATATAAAGGAAAAGTCCATTCTATGAGTGGCACAAGCTTTCAGTTCCCAATGTAAAATCCTTATTCACTGGTGTTAATCACACTGTAAAAATACTGCAACAGCTGCTGTGCCACAAAAGAGGGTTCAAGTTTCAGTAACTTACTGTTAAAATGTCACTAGACATGGTACTTACTTCCACCATCCCCACCTTCTCCCTTCCGTTTGCCTGTGTTAGCTGGAACTGTCTCTGTACACTGTGTGCCCTCATACCCTTCTTCACAGCTGAAACAGAAAAACAGCAAATCAATCAACTAAAAGTGCATTGATAACGGTTAAACATCCAGGTAATTAGATAAGGAAGAAAAACTGTGACTCAAGCAACTGGATTGATTTTGAAAACTGTCAGATGTTTCAAATAGAATCTACTACTTCTCGCCAGTGACTAACAGAATTCATAATTGAACACAGGTATTTATCAAAAATCTTTGTACATGTAACTGCATGATCTAACAATGTCTAGTAGGTAGCTTGAAGTTCTTGATAATGTATTGTGTCCTATACATGCTATATCATGCAAAATGCAGATGTGGCACAAATATACTTACTTGCATACAGGTTGGTTGTTAGCGTCTAAACTGCACTGGCCTCCATTCTGACAGAATTCGAAGCACAGATCTTTTGGAGACTCACAGTGCGGTCCTTGGAAATTCTCAGAGCAGCTGTGAGAGAATTTAGAGTGCAAAAACAACTGTTTAGTCTTGATATTGAATAGCCTCACTTGTACAGAGTTTGTATTTTGTGCACTACACACTGTACTTTATTGAGGCAGCAAAAAGCATATGCAACTACTTTACCTGCACCGTGCTAGTAAGTTTCTTTTTGGGTCTCTTCTACACACACAAGTATTCTATGCAAACTGACACAAAACTGTCCAATCACACTGCAAATCATTCATAGGTGGTTGAAATGACAAATAAGTATTAGGACACAGAGTTAAAGATTTAGTCACTCATGATGCAGAAGAACAGTTACTACTGTCCACCACCATCTAATCTCTCTCACCCTCACAAGGCTTTAAGGTTTTGTCAATGCTGGGTGGGTTTGGACAATGTCATTGCTCAAGAATAGTCAAGAATGTCAGTTGGTCAAGAATATGTCCCAGAGCACTCTCCATGTAAGACTGTGTAGCATGGCTATGCAGGATACTTTAGACATAGACTTCATGTCAACTCCATATGGTACCACACTGGCAAGTACTCTGGCACACATTCTTGGTGTTCAAAACACCTTGAAACCAGGACTGTCCTCAGTGAAACAGGTTAGATGGTGGTGTTGTCAGTATCATGCAAAAAGCACTAGCCATCTACATTGTACATGACTGTACATGTACAACTGTTTTGCCACACCTAACACTCACGCAGCCTATAGGAGCAAGCAAAGCATACACTTCTGGATTCTGAGTTTCTGCTTTTCTACTTCGCAAATGGCACACAAACCACCAACCGACCGTACTTACTTGCAAAATGGCTTGTTAGTAAGCTTATTTATGTCACATGCACCACCGTTACTACAGTCAAAAGTTTCGCATGCAGGCGACCTAAGGGGAAACAGGACATGTGTGTGAAAGACCAGATGTGCCCTTTCCATCCTGTTGCCAAAACACACCAAATTGCAACTTGAACTATCAATCAGTGTCCTGGAACCTAAAATGGCACTGTCACTGTGGTGTTGCCAAAAATAGGTTAAAGCACAGTGTATCTATAAGGAATCATTTGAATAAGATCACCTGTCTGTAACTGTAACTCTCACGAGATTACATTTTGAAGTGATTGGCTATTACTTATCCTGATGGACTCAATGTTCTTCAGAAAATTTCATACAAGATTTTCATAATCTGAAGAACTTTTCTCCTGCTATAGCCTTTGTTAGACCAGTTCAATAATTCGTCTCTCGTTGCTTTTCAGCCTAATACACCTATGAAGGTAAAAACATTAGCTAACAAGACACATGGTAACAGATACTTACGCACAAGACAAGGAACGATCAGGGAGCACAGTGCAGTGGGCTCCGTTTTTACAGTAACCGTCGCAGCGATCTGTCTGACAGCGGTTGCCTTCATAGCGTGGTAGGCAGTCACACACACCTCTATTGCCGGACACACTGCAGGACCCTGTAAGTAGGAATTCATGAAGATTTACCACATTTGTGAAAGGGCTGATATATCAGGTGACTATCACCAACCGTTTCATTATGTTAACCCAGAGACCAGAGTGTAAGGTTTGAACCACTCACACCAGCTAGGACCTATGCTCTTTTCGACAAGTGTGGTGGATATTTAACATGCTTGATCATGAGGTGTGGCTCTTCTAATAAAAACAGGGCTTCCAGCTTTACGTCCTATCAGAGAGGATGTCCTTAACTGACAATAGGTGCTTATTTTCACCTCAGCCGAGGAAATATGTGTGCCTTTCCCAAGGGCACAACATTGGAGCCTGCCTGGATTCAAACTCGTAACCTTTGGATTCTGAGTCAACAACCCTAACCATAAGACCATCTTGCCACCTAGAAAACGTCAAACATTTTAACAGCTACAGCTGTAAGCATCCTTTATCAAATATTAGACATTGCTGTAATGTATACAGGTATCATAATCATGCCTCCGGATTAATCCGGTGAGGTGCACTTGATAAAGTTACTCCAATATACTCTGTCCCTCAAGGCGGACACTACAGCTGTCCCTGTGAGATCAGTGTCTGTCTCTACCATTGACAGAAGTGTAGTATGTGGTCGTCCCACTCTAAGATTCCCATAACAGGTACAAAGCGGTCTTGCCTCCGTTAAGACAGTAGTTGTCACACGATGAGTTGCAGCGAGGCCCGAAGAAGCTGTTTATACAGGTTATGCAGACCGGTTTGTTCATGGAGTTTAGCTGGCAGCGTCCGTTGTTCGCACAGTACAGGTTACACTTGTTCTGTCTGCACTGGGGACCATGGAAGTTTGGATGGCATCTGGGGATCAAACAAGACAAAGTTATTGTTATCATAATCATCTACATAGATAGCAGGGCTCTCAATACTTTTTCTGCATGCATGTACTGGTGCAGATAACATTGAACCCAGAGAGGTTTTACCTGTACCTCTCAGAATTTAGTAAGCATGGATCATACTAAAAAATGTTAAGAAACCATTGTCTATTTCCTTTATACTTCATAGGTGGTTAATAGTCAACACAGCAAATAAAAATCCACATACACCTACATATGTTTGTACATGCATACATAAACCTAAAGTACATGGACCAGTGTAGTTTAGGTGCAAGTAGACATCAGAAATACCTGCAGAGCTCCAATTTTACCTGCACTTACCTGCATATACCCAGCACATGGACCAGTGCAGGTTAGGTGCAGATAGACATCTGAAATACCTGCACAGCTCCAATTTTACCTGCATATACCCAGTACATGGACCAGTGCAGGTTATGTGCAGATAGACATCAGAAATGTACAGTACCGTTCGCGTTATAGTTAACCGGGTACCCCGTTACTAACGAGTTATTTTTTCGTCAGAAAATGGTTAGAAAATCGTCAGTATTTGGTTAGATTTTCGTCAGAAAATGGTTAGAAAATCGTCAGAAATTATTTCTAACGCGTTACCGTTTGCGTTAATGTGATAGGGTCGGATTTCATGTTTGTTTTGCGCGCCGACAAGACAATAGCAATTTGCCACCTCCTGGGGCGTCCGCTAATGTGTTGCGATGTTGCCCCTTGAAAAATAACAGCACCAGAGGCAAGTGGACATGTGATTCGTAAAATAACTTTGTGGTTTATCCATGTGTCGACTGTGTGAAGCGAATTGTGCTATCTTTTAATGCTATTCTATAGTTATTTCTAGCGGAAAATTACGTTGTGTAATACAATGTATGTCAACAAAGTGTAGCAGTGGGCAGACGATGTCTTGTACATAATTTTTTGTACCAGCGGCGGCCTACCGCTCTCACAGGACGTCATGGGACGTGACGAAACAAGAAATATCTGCCGTAGAAGAAATATAAATCGGTAACTCATGCCTTAAATTCACGGCGGTTTTTGACTCAAAAGAAAAATTATTATAATTTTTGTAAGGCGCGCGGCTTACTAGTACTAGCGGCTTTAATACTCACGGTAAAATGTACCGTCACTCCCGGCGCAAGGACTCGGTTCGCCAGCTGAGGACTTTCCACAACCATGATGATATCATAGTTAATAAAGGAATATATAATAGATCTATCATGTTGAAATTATAATTGTAATACATGGTTCTATTTAATAGCGGTAGTTTTGTTTCTTATTTTGAGGGGGGAAACTGTCAAAAATCGAGGGAACGCAAACTGAGATCGGCTCACTTCCGGGTGCATAACGCCAAAATTTCTCGACGATTATATAAAAATGACCACTCATTTGCCGCCTACGTCAGCGTGTACATGGTAGTGCGATCATATCGTGCCAAAGTCAGCGTCAAACGTCAGAAAATCCCCGTAAAAATATACTTGCAAAACACATTTCCCGCGCACTCAGGGCCGGTCGCCCTGGCCGCTGCCTCCCTGTGTGCAGCATGCTCATTATAATATGCAAGTAGCTACGCTCTGATTGGTTCACCTTAGATGACCTGCGCTGTGATTGGCTAGAACGAAGCCCGTTGCATGCTGGGGCGCCCTTCCCCGCGCGAAATGATCTCGAGAGAGCCACATTTACGCTGGTTTCTACCTTATTTCTACGACTAATTAGCAACATCCTAGTGACGAAATGCGTACTCAAAAGAATTTTCGGGAAAAAAATATATGTACATGTGGATTTGTGGTGCCTTTGGCGTAATTTTGTTGGTCACATACAACGTAATGTAACACGGAAGTGCATGGAGTCGGAGTGGCGGCACGGCTTTCTGTCCCACTCTAAACAAAACTCCAAGGACATAACAAAACTCCCCAAAACTGGTCAATAATTAGCCATAAAAATGTTGGTGGGCACGTGTAAATATGCTGCCTTTTTTCGAGTGTCATAGGAATTTTCCACGATGTTTTTGCACATCCCTAACGTTACCTCACGCCCGCCGCCTATTATGTACGGCGGACCGGGGCATTTATAACTTCAGATCATCTAGGTTTGCTTATTCGGTGGTAAAATAAGTTAACAGAGAAAAACAGCAAAACAAAGTTGACAAACTATAGAAACGCTTGCCTGGGCAACAGTGACAAAAGAAAATGTCTATCAAATTGAATTGCGCCGGTGATCGTAAAACGTTTTAAACGTTACAATATAGTAAAATGCAGGCTAGATCAACGTTCCTTCCGCTGTTCCAGCGGTGTGTATCGGTAATTTCCCGCCCCGCATGAGGTAAATTAGTACTCCTCCCATTATTCTGTGATGTTACCGCGGCCTGCATATGAATGCAGAAGTCTAACGGAAAAGTAACGGAAAAGTAACGGAAAACTTACGCAAAAGTTACGGAAAACTTACGGAAAAGTAACGGAAAAGTAACGGAAAAAAAACGCATTAGTAACGGCCGTTAGGGTAACTATAACGCGAACGGTACTGTACCTGCACAGCTCCAATTTTACCTGCACTACTGCATACACCCAGTACATGGACCAGTGCAGGTTAGGTGCAGATAGACATCAGAAATACCTACACAGCTCCAATTTTACCTGCACTAACCTGCATATACCCAGTACATGGACCAGTGCAGGTTAGGTGCAGGTAGACCTCAAAAATACATCAATGCATAGATGACTTACTTGCACTTGGGGTTGCCTTGTTCGTTGGGGATGCAGGTTCCTCCATTGAAACAAACCACCTCACACGGTGCTGTGGTCGGCTCTGAACAGGGCAACAATTCAACACAACGTTGGAGAACAATATTTTATCAGCATACAGAACTATAACTTACATCACTGAATGGTAGGAGACACTTTGAAGAAATCTGTTGATCACTTACATGTACATTAATTTTGTCATACAAAAAGGATCACTAACCAGAATGAACAGAAGTCGGAGAGTGTTACCGGGTATGTGTACTTTTCCACTAGTTGTGACAAAGAAGACAGATTCTATGTAGTATTTATGGGTTTATTGTAACCTGGGAAGTTCCCCTAGCTCTTCACAACAAGTACAATGAATAGTGAACCACAGCTTAATATTCCGTCCTACAAACTGTGGCCCTTCCAGTAACGTGCAAGTTGGGTGGGCAACAACAGCTGAGATTCGAACTCACAACCACTTGATCCAGAGGAAGGGTCACAAGCCACTGGACAATGCATGCTACATATTAGGACTACAATAATGTAGCTCCAGTCTGTCTAAATATGTGATTACTATGGGTTTTGTGTTGGAATGTTGAGACAGGAGTTTCCATTAGAACACTTTGACCACTGGACCATGAAAGCTACATAGAACTTCCCCTGCACGCTTTACCCCAATTTAGGGGTGTTGTACAGTACCTAAACAAGACAAGACAAGACTAGCTCCTGTCTCTCTAAATGTGTGATTGTCCTTACCTGGAGATGGTGCTGGTACATTTGTACATGAGTTTCCGTCCAGCTTTCCCCCATTAGGACAGGCACAGATGGTCCCGCCGCCCGGCATGGGGGCACGGAAACACAGGTGGGTACAGTTGGACGAGCTGCATGGGTTGGTGACTGGGGGAGGAGGAGAAGGTGAGAAGTTAGAACCCAAAGGTTTATCAACAGTCATGTTGACACTACATGTTTGTATGAACCATTCTATATTCAGCCTGAAGGCCACTTTTCATTGAGGTCATGAGGGAAGGGTCAGACCGAATATAAAGTTTACATTATGATAAGAGGTGGGGTAAAAAGGTGAAAAGGTCTAGTCTATAGATCTATTTAATGTTTCAATGTACAACGTACAGAGTTAAGACTTATTATGAGTGTCTGACACAAGATGCTAGTAGATAGAGAGAAGATAGCAGTAGCAGTAGGTATCCTTCCATCTCGAGAGATGATGAGGGGGCGGGCACACTAACGCTATGCATACATACCTGACACATCACACAGCCATTTACAGACAGATGGTCAGATAGAATATCACAAAAAGCTGCAGCCTTACTTGTCTGATCCTGCTTGTGTTGTTGGAAGATGACCACATCAGAAGCGTGCTGCAGGTTGTTGGCCAGGACAGTGACGTTATCCCGACCAAACTTGTCCACCTTAAACACCTCACCAGTGTGGTACGTGGTCCCGTAGATGTTGTCTTCAAACAGGTCAATCAGGTACGGCTGACGCAGTCCTGGTATAACAGACAGTAATAATTCAACGTTTTAAACTCTTAAAACTTTTAAACTAAAAAAATGGTAATGAAGAAAAGACAAAACATCATTTCCAACACTAGTGTACCAACACAGATGAACTTTCATGGTAATATTGAGACAAAAAGCTCCATCAACACAAACTCAATTCCACTACTGATTGAAAATACATGTAGAAAACAGTCAAACATCTAAGACTTCAAGTGACCATTTCTGCACATTTTTGGTGGTCCCCTACGTTACATTTTTTTTCCTTTGAGATAACCAAGCAGTAAAATAAGAATTCTGTCTAATTATACAGTGTTTGTGGCCATCTGACAACTGTAACCACTTTCTTCTTCATGTACATGTACATGTATTATAATATCTGGAGCAAGAAGTAACAAACTATACCTTTACTGTAGTTGGCTGCCACGACCCTGCCACTGCCGTCAAAGTCAATGCTCTCAATGGTGTTCTTCTTGGCGTCTGCCCAGTACAGGCGCCTGTTCTGGTAGTCGATGGCCAGCCCTGTGGGCCACTGGAGGTCCTCACGCACAAGGACCCTCCGCTCTAAACCGTCCAGGCGTGCTCGCTCGATTTTAGGAGACAAGCCCCAGTCTGTCCAGAACACATACCTGAGGGGAGCAAGAATAAGTAGGGTTACTTGGTGAAGTCAGTGGGGAAAAATGCATCAGTGACCATCTACAGATCTGAAACTGTTTTACAGAATATAAACAAGGAAAGCATCAAGTCAGAACACAATAATTACATAGTATTACATAGTATTACATAATATATATATTACATAATATTACATATTACATAGTATTACATAATATATATATTACATAATATATATATTACATAATATATATATATATATATATATATATATATATATATATATATATATATATATATATATATATATATATATATATATATATTACATAATATATATATTATGTAGAAATGCAGACACCAATTTTTTTGCTGTTTGACCATGATAATAAGTTAAACAAAATAGTTTGGCCAAATTACACTCTAGTCTTTATAAATGTGTATGGCATCAGAAATAATAATGTACTTTCAGATTATGCAGATATTTGCATCTCTTTAGATTCTGAAGACATAATTCTATTTTATCACTGTGACAGTTGATCCAATATTAGACATTTTTAACACTGTATAATGAAAGAACCCAGTCCTACCCATTTTTGGGGTCCACTGCCACGGAATGCGGCCGGTCCATACCGGTGTTGAGGAGAGTTTTCCGGTTGTTTCCATCCAGGTCAGCGACCTCTAGGGCGTCTTTCCTGGCGTCTGTCCAGTAGATGTGCCGACCCACCCAGTCTATGGCTATTCCACGTGGCTCCTCCAAATCACGGATCTATAAGAGATGAAAATGCTATTTCCCTCTGTCTTTTCTTGTATTTTTTGTTCATATCACACTGTAGAGAACTATAGTCACTGGCTAAGATAGGTTATGAAACTGTATATCAGTGTTGCCTACATATCAATACAGAAACAGCTCAATACCTTACTTATATGTGCTTGTTTTGGTCTTTTTCACATTGAAATGATGGGAATTATCTAATTGTACAATTGTTTATCTTGTCATGACAAATATTGTATACTAACTACATGTAAATGCCGATGTCTTTGGAAAAGTTTTATTGCACTAAAGAGTTCTGATAAAGAACTACATGTATCTTCACTACTGAAGCAACCGTCTCTTCCTTACATCTAACTTGACGATATCCGTGGCCTGGCGTTTCCGTCTCTTGTTGTCCAGCTGTATGGTGGCCCTGTATATCCCGCTGGTGTGGATGTTACTCCAGTACGCCATGTTGGACTTCACGTCGATGTCCATACTCTCCACGCGTGTCTCGTCGTTACCACGGAAACCGTCACCCAACCCGACACGAGAGTTGTCCGGGTTGATCCTTTTGATAACGTTGTCGTCGGCAATGAGCAAATAATCAGGATCACCTGTAGGTAGTAAATATAGGGAAAAATTATTACTCTATGTGTGTGTCACTGTGTGTTAAAAACATACTGTATTTACTGGGACAGGGATTATTTGGGAAAACTGGGAAAGATATCAAAGTTGACAGCATAAAAAGGACTGGGACAAAATAAGATATTCTTGGGACACTGTCCAGGACCACTGATTATACGTACAACTACTGTATAGTTAAAAAGTGCTGTATGCTATTCTCATGGTAAGTCAAGAGCAAAAATGTACTCTCAGGAATATCAACCTTTAGCACACTAAAGCAGGTATTTGGCAAACGATTCTCTTATGGATACAAGGTTAGGCAACATGGAGAAGGAACATTGTGATTTTAAAGGTCTTTCTATTCCTTCTGTTACTTCCCAGACAAATAATTTAAACTTATTTCCTATGAACTGCTCTATGGCAGTACCAATTCTCTGACACTGACCTTCAGCTATGCAGGTGTCCAATCCATTGCTGCCTCGTGCCTTGATGAACCCAGGGGAACAGGAACAGTGGAAGGAACCTTTGGTGTTGGTACAGACCTGTGAGCATCTCCCAAAGTCTTCACACTCATTAATGTCTGAAAAGAAAGAAAAAACACACGTAAACCCGTGACAGCTATAAAACATAGTGTGTTGAAGTACAGTATAGAGTAAGACATCATGGTACTGGATGATGTATAATTTTTGAGGAGGGTGGGCTACATTTCTCATTTGTTGCATCTCTACTGAAAATCTTCTCTTTGACTACAGAAGCCATGTGACAAGTCTCACTGGGTCATTGAAGACCAGAGTGACTAGTAGAAAGCTCTGGGTGAGAACGTTTATTTGTGTTGGAACAAAAGTTTGAACATGAAACTATCAACAGAGATGAAGTTTCATAACAACAGTTCCTGTACCTTGGCAAGACGTGAGGTCCTGGTTGAGGGTGTATCCATCCCTACATGTGCAGTAGTGACCCCGAGGCAGGTCTGTACACTTGTGCTGGCAGTTCCCATTGTTGTTTTGACACTCGTTCACATTGGGAGGACCTGTACAACACAATATACAAAATTGTTCACTATAATACAACCAAGTCCATGCAATAACTTTATGCTGTTTTCATGTGCTTTCAATATAACCATTACACTGGGTACAGTGTCACACTTTCTTCATATTGGTCTGAATTGCTGTGTGCATGCACTAACATTCCCAACAAAAAGAATTTAACAGCATCTAGCATTATTACTTCATATCAATTAAAATGTTGACCATACTATCCCAATAACAAATAGGGATTGAATACAAGCTAAGCATGTGTACTAAATAGATATTCCATAACTTACCACACAGCCCTTCATCTGACCCATCCCCACAGTTGTCATAGTTGTTACAGACCAGGTCCAGTTTCACACATCTGTTGCCTGACAGACACTTGAAGTCATCTGCTGTACAGGTTCTGTTCTCCGCTGGGGCTCCTGAAATGAAAGGAAGATCTTGTCAGACCAAACTACTGCTTTAAGGATGATACCAAATGAATCCGCTCTAAAGGTACTACAATCAAGCATAAAAACACAATTACATTGGTAACACATTTTACATCAGTTATGTATCTGTGAAAAAAATGCTGCTGAGCAAAGAAAAGAACTAGAAACTACTTAAGGTAACATTTGCAAAGCAAAGTGCATAATGTTTACCTTGGCATATTGTCTGCTCTGTTACTCAAACACATTCATATATATGGTGACAGGAGTCTAAATCCCTTCTGCTATAGAATTGCAACATGATGTAACCCAACATTAGTTACCATGGTGACAGGTGTCTGGTTCAGGTCATTGACCTTATTAGTTTGGAGAAGAAGAAGAGGAAAAAGAAACAGAGCAAAACAATGTTTTCCTTCTGTGAAGGCAAACATTATTACTGAGATGGGGATTTTAGATCACTTAGGAGCTACTTACTGCAGTCCATTTCATCTGAGTTGTCGTCACAGTGGCTGAAGCCGTCACACCGTCGGGAGATGGGTAAACACACACGGTCGTTACGGCAGCGGAACTGACGCGTCGGTGGGCACACAAAGTTCTCTGCAAAAACAAAACAACAAAGATACAATAAATAAACGGGAACTTCTCTGGAAAAACAAAAACAACAAAACAATAAACACAAACTTCTCTGGAAAAACAAAAACAACAAAATAATAAACACAAACTTCTCTGGAAAAACAAAAACAACAAAATAATAAACACAAACTTCTCTGGAAAAACAAAAACAATGACTCACTGCACATGAAGGCCTCCTCATCAGACTTGTCTCCACAGTCGTCCTCCCCGTCACACTTCCAGGACAGCGGCTTACACAGCGTGTTGTTACACTGGAACTCTCCTTCCTTACACAGGACTCCTGGGGGCTCTGAAAATACAACATCAGATATTTTAGGAAGGGTTTTCGAAAGTGACAACATAAGACAGTGAGGGTATCACTAGACAACTCTACATCTACGTTGAACAGCTTGAATGCCTTATTGTTATAACACACCAACTCTCCATTAATTGTTTGTACATGTATGTCTGTGAATGCTGCAATAAAAAATAAAATAAGAAAAAGACTGCGAACTTATTGGTAAGGAATAGTGATATTTTGGTCCCCTAACTGCTTTGTTTTGGTCATAAGTGGTACCCCAATACTGGTTTCTATAGTGGCAGAGAATCCTGAGCTCCCATTGGACTTAATTTTACAAAAGAAAATTCTGAGCTTATAGTTCTCTTGAGTTAGAGGCGTACGGCCACAAGCTGTCAAGAAGGCCCAATCTCTACCCGACTGTGAGAGACTGTACATGTATACAATGTAACTAGTAGCAGCCTACATTAACACCACAACAAAGGTACTGTTTAAGGGAGATACGAGGGAAAGTTACCGGTAACTTCACAGTTCTCCTCATCACTACCGTCCAGACAGTCCCTGTCCAGGTCACAGTGCCAGCCCTCCGGGATACAGTGTCCATTCCTGCACTTGAACTGATTCGGCGCGCAGGTAGACGCTGAGGAAGCACAAACACCACATGAAAAACAGAGAAGCAAACCTGTTTAGATATACAAATATGCAAAGAGTAAAGATACTTCCTTGTGTGAGCGAATGATATCACCTCAAGCAACATTTGTAATCCCTGCTTCTCTCCTTGAGTCAGTTAGACCTCACTCTCTCTGAGTTGAGCATGTCTTGAGCATTGGTGTTTCTGACTTACGATGAGAAGATATGCTGTTCCAGAAACGTGAACTTAGTTCAGTGCCTAATAAATGAAATAAACTGAAACCTGCCTCCCATTATCACTCCATATTTCTCTCCCTGTTCTGGGGTGTATTGCAATTCTCAACAAGTCCAATTACAAAAATCAGCAATAAGAAGACTTGTCCCCGAGATAACTTACAGCAGCCGCTTTCATCCGATCCGTTTTCGCAGTCGTGGTCGCCGTCACACTTCCAGCGGCCGGGGATGCAGCGGTTGTCGTCACACTGGAACTCACTCTCCGAGCATGGCCTTGGTGCTGAAAACACAGTTGTGGTTAACAATTGGATCATCTCAAGTTTTAAGATGCAGTTTATTTTTAAATACCAAGCCAGCAATACCTAAGCTACATTCCTATTAGTATCCTGAACTCACTCTCTGAAATGGCCTTGGTGCTGAAAACACAGTTAAACAATGGTTAAACAATGGATTATCTCAGGTTTTCGGGATTTTTTTCTTGCCATGTCATCCTAGTTCACTGTATAATGGTGAAAAATGAATAAAAAAAATCATGTAACAAAAAAATTTCAGCACTCTATGATTCCTAATACTTACTGCAGCCCTCTTCATCAGAGTTGTCTCCACAGTCGTCATCATAGTCACACCTCCAGCGGGCGGGGATGCACTTGTTGTTGTTACAGCGGTGCTGGTACTGGTCACAAGTACGGGCACCTAACACAGCATGGAAAAAGTGTAAATACAGCTTTGGTATACTGTAACAGTAGTCTGTCTCTTCAATATAAAGAGGAACTATGTGTAGTATACTCAGGTAACCGTTTATTTTACAAGCAAATATACTCAGTCCTTTGGTCTAGTATAGCCAAAAAAAGGGCCAAAGGTTGTCATTATGTTCTAAGGACTGTAACTCTCTGTAGTAGACATGGGTTCAGGTTTTATTAGCAAGCTAACAACTTTTTGTCAAATACAGTAAACAAGGACCAAGTTCTGTCATTATGCTTTAGGCTTTTTGTTAAGCACAAACAGCAAGAACCAATGGCTATCATTCAGTCTTAATCTAAAGACTGCAACTCTTCCATCTGCCACAGGAAATATTAAGACGTAAGTGAGACTTACTGCAGACACCGACTTGCTCATCTGACGAATCCCCACAGTCATTGTCACCGTCACACTGCCATCTGGCCGGGATGCACCGACCTGTGTGTGCAACAAGTGTTCATTTACTAGTCAAAAAAGAACCTATACAAAAGTGCACAGTAGTTACATTGTACTGTTTAGTCTCCAAATAGCTAGAAGCTTCAAGCTGATACTGCACCACAATAGAGGGAAGTAAAATGTAGATCATCTAATTGAGTGTTAATTTGCAGGATGTTACACAAATGTTGTTTTTTTATACATCGAAACATGCAAAGTGGAAGTATCATGATCAAAGAGCAAAACAGCAAAATAATATACTGTTATGACTGTTAGGCTTTGCAGTCTTTGATATAGAAATTATACTGCATGCAAGTTTTTATTGGGAGTGGGGACTTTTGGGAGCATATGTTCCTAAAATGGTAGCCGTCAGCATGACTTATCATATACAGATGCAGAATGTCACAAGGGTGAGTACATGTCCATACCTGTGTTGTTACAGCGTAGTTCGTTCTCCGAGCAGCTCCGTGCTGTACAGTTGTTTGGCTCGTCTGAACCATCGCCACAGTCATTGTCTCCGTCACACATCCAGACCCGCGGGATACAGATCTTTGACGAGTTACACTTGAACTGGTTTGCTGCACAGGTTCTCTCAGCTGGGAGGGAACAAAAATTTGTTATCCTCTTACATGGAAAATTTCTGTTACCAGCAGTTTGGAATAAAGGCTGTGTAACACAGGAACATCTAAGATTGGCTTTACACAACATCTTAACAAAATTTGAGGAGTTACACTTGAACTGGTTAGCTGCACAGGTCCTCTCAGCTAGGAGGGAACAAATCTTTGTTATCCTGCAGAAAAAGCTGTGTAACACTGTTAGATATGTCTTTAAAACAACACATCTTAGCTCAAATTCAGCCACCTCGCAAGTCTCTACAACTATAGTTGATAAGAAGTATACTTCCTTCAGACATAGTTGGTTGAAATTGCTGTCAATTTACCTTGGTTGCAGTTTTTGAAGGACTCATTTGAACTTAAAGTCGACGTAAGTCCTTCAATCAGTACCAATCCAAAAGAACTTTTTAATAAATCTCTCAAAGTCTCTCAAAGTCCACTGTATGTCCCGATATAATTTGGCCATAATCTCAATACTGAGAGAAAGTTGTAGATAAGTATGATTACTTACGACAGTTTTCCTCGTCACTCCCATCCTGACAGTTGGTGGCCCCGTTACACCTGAAGATCCCAGGGATGCACTTGTTCTCTCCCTTACACTTGAACTGGTTCGGCAGACACGTGTGGTGCTCTGGAAAAAACAACCAAGTTTATCAATCCCTATTCCAAGCGATACTATCTGTGTAAGCTTTGCAAGCATGCAGATGAATTATATACATCTAGTTAGATTCCTGATAGTTATGTAGCAATTGCTGGAATGGCAAGGAAAAAAACTACATAGTATTACTAAAACTTGAGATGATCCAATAGTTTCACCACCACCTTGTGTTCAGCACCAAGGCCATGGTCGTAGAGTGAGTTTCAGTGTCACAATATATTGTGTGGGGTCGTGTGGTGCAATGGCAGTGTGCGTGACTCGGAATCAAGAGGTCCCGTGTTCGAGTCCTGACATGCCACCGATCTTTTGCCCCTGGGAAAGGCACTTAACATAACTTTCCCCACTAGACTCAAGTGAAAATGAGTATTGTCTGTCCAGTATCCGTTTCTATGTATGGGACACAACACCAGCAACAGCCGCCTCTGTTCCGCATGTATTGCATTGTTGCAATTTCATAAAATAAAATAAATAAACCTGTTACAAACAAAGACACAGTGAGCTGAGAAGTTGTCTTACCACAGTTCCTCTCATCAGAGCCATCACTGCAGTCCTGGTCCCCATCACAGATGAAAGCAGGGTTGGTACAGTCTGAGTTGTTACACTGGAACTGGCCAGGCCGACACACGAAGGGTGCTACATGGAACAAAATATCATCAGTCAACTCAAGAGGTGCACAGGAGTTTATCATTGAGAGATAGCTATAAAAATGCATATTTTTTCTATAGCCAGTATATTGTGTATAGACAATTTATTTTTCAATATACATGTACCATCAATTGTGTTTTGCACTCTTTACATAATCTTTACATCATGTTTCAATGTGAAAAGCACCAAAAGCTGAGAAAATCTTGTGTCCCTGAACACTTCCGAATCAAGTTTTAAAGATTTTGAAAGTGGCGAAGGCGAAGCACGCTCAAACTACTCGATGGAATTTTTCGTCCATGTGATCACCAGTAGAATATAGTGTGATATAGTCAGTTATCACACAAGCTGTACCATCATATCGAATGTTATCGCTACCCAGGTATGACTAATGTACTTACGACAGTCATCTGGTTCATCCGAGCCATCATCACAGTCGTTCTCCGTGTCACACTTCCACCAGAAGGGGATACACTTGAAGTTTCCACACTCGAACTGACTTGACGTGCAGTTGGAGAGACAAGTCTTCCCGTCCGAGGCTAGGTAGAAGTTCTCGGCGCAGGCGCAAGTGTGCTTCCCGCCTGGCTGCAGCAGGCACAGGTTTTTGCAGCCGCCGTTGTTTATGGAGCACGGGTGGTTGGGTACTGCAGGGAGGAAAAGTACACATTTTTAACTGTTTAGATGAAAGAACTAATGACCAATTGTAATATGATGAAATTCTAAAATCTACAGCATAATAGTATAAGAATCAATAACTCATTATTAGAAGCTCTTGATTCACAAGAATACAGATGACTAGTTACTGGTGACCCGAGAAGAAGAAAATAAATTTTGCATGGTAGAGTCGCAATAATTTACTTGTGATTGACGTCGTTAATTCTTTAAAAATGTATAGAAATTAGCCAATTCTATGCCTAAAGAAATTAATTTAAACTGCAAGTTACAAAGCTATACATTTCAGCTTTCGTTTGTACACTAAAAAGATTAAGGGTTACATGCATGTGTTGTCTGCATCTATTATCATATTAAACATGAATTTTTCTTTAAAAAACAAACTGTAATTATATTATACCTAATTTACAGAAAAACAAATCTACAAAATATATCATTAAAGCAAACGTACTGCTCCTCTGTCTGTAAGGATGGTAGATGTGTATGTCCATGGGTCTGTGTACTGATGTGACCAGCTGAGTGGCGTTAGCCCCGGTGTACTTGTGAGCCTTGTGGACTCCCTTAGTCTCCCAGTCTGTCCAGAAGATGTAGTCTTCAAACAGGGACAAGCCAAAGATGTGGGGGATACCACTCTCACTGATAACTGTAGGGTTTGGGAAATAGGTAGATTATCATACATGAAATCTATACAAATTGACAAAAGTACAACTACCTTGAATTCGTAAAATCTTTTAAGGTGGATACAAGTGACAATTGGATGAACTTATATATACTTTACATAAACAAGTGAATAAAAATGTCAGAAATGAAATAACATTCAAGTATATAGATGAATCAACAAGTTTTTTGTTTAAAAATAAGTCATGACTGTAACAGTAACTTAGAAACGTTAGTGTTAGTGTTTATAACTTATTTGAGTCTGCTGGTGAGATGATAACCAAATCTAGGATATTAGATTGTTTTTTTTACACAACAGCTCTCACCTTCTTATGTTTCGATGCCTATCAAACACCTTCCTCGGAGCTTCTGACTGGAGTACTGTTTCTTGCCATTGTATAAAAAAAACCCAAATATCCTAGTTTTGGTTATATCCTATGTTTTACCAACCAGATGAAATTATTGTCAGAATAACCAAACCTGTATGAATGTTGGAGCCGTCAGCCTCAGCAAACTGGATGTGGTCCTCCCTGGCATCCCCCCAGAAGATCCTCTTGGTGACGTAGTCGACGGTCAGACCGTTGGGCCAGCCGATCTTGGTCCTGGTGCTGTTGATGATGACTTTACCGTGACTCCCGTCCAGCCAGGAACGACCGATGTGAGGGTTCTCTCCCCAGTCTGTCCAGTACAGGTATCTGGGAAATAAAACAAGTAACACATTATTATACTAAAGAAGCAAATGCACAATGTTTACCTTCGGACAGGGTCTGCCCTGTTAATTTTTACTCAAACACATTCACAAACATGTACTACGAGCATATGGTGACAGGAGTAGAGCAGACCATGAAATAGCAACATTATGTAACCCAATACCAGTCAACATGGTGACAGATGTCAACGAATCATGTCATTGGCCAGGTCAGAGGTTAGTGTTTGGTACATAAGAGGAAGAAACTGAGTAAAAACAATATGTTTTCCTTTGATAAACATAATTATAAAAAAAACAAGAGTTCCACGATCTCATACCTTCGCCAAAAGATGTTAACCCTTGCGTGTGACGAATTCTACAATTTTAATCATTGATTTTGTAAATAAGAGCCTCATTTGCATGGATTATATCAGTTGATCATATTCTCCACCCAATGACAGCCTTATCATAACAAAGAGGCTATTATAGCACTTCCTCATAAATTATGCAAATGGTGTCATGATTTGAATAAATTATGTTTATTAATGTTCACCTTCACTTAACTTCCAAATGTAGCAAGTATGAAATTCGGGGTGCAGCAGTTACAACTATGGAATTATAAGAATTTGCCATTAATTATGCAAATTAGGTCCTCATTTACATAATCTATATGTTATCCTCAGATGTTTTTCTCGTTCTCAAGTAGATGTCACAACTGTTTCATAGTTCTATTATCGAACAAATCAGATTTATAGAATTTCCTCATTAATTATGCAAATTAGCTCCTGATTTGCATAATTGCCATCTGATTATGTCAAACATCACTTCAACTACCTACATACCAAAAATCACGACAATACGTCAACCGGTTCTTGAGTTATCGTCCTTCAATTTTTTTTCAACAAATGCCCCTGCAGTTCCAGAACAAGGCGCTAGGGGACCCAAACTCATGTCACTTCTTCCCTACCCCAAGAGCTATCTACCAACCAAAATTCGTGACCCTAGCATGTCCAGAACATGAGATATCAAAACCGGAAGTTCAGCTGCAGTACCTAGCAAAGCCGCCAGGGGGCCCAAAATCTAATCATTTCTAGGTCTAATGAAGTCCTACCTACCTACCAAGTTTCATTCCAATCCATCCACTGCTTCTCGAGTTATCTTGCTAAACCACACACACACACACAAACACACCCACCCACACACACACACACAGACAAACGCTACTGAAAACATAACCTTCTTGGCGAAGGTAATTAGGGATGTAGGACATGTCTTCCTGATTTGTGAACAGATTTTCAACACATCATCTAATTCACTTCTCGTCTATTGATATCTGTATTCTTCTTTATCCATTTCTCTATTCTTAAGCTAGAGGCTCAACTCAGTAACAATGTACAGTTTTACAGTATGTCCTGGAAGTTCTAAATTTATTGTTTTGAACCATGCAACTTCATATCAATATTACTAACCTAAATCTGAAATAGACTTTGTAACTTTCTGAATTTCTAATGGTGAAACTTTATTTGAAATTTCTCAGACCAAGAGTTGATGATTTATATAAGAAAATTCAAGCAACTGGATAGATTTTGAACACTGGCATGACAGTTTTCAAAATGTATCCAGTGTATTGAGTAACTTTTCTTGTGTATCTGGATGTCTAACCTTCATTGACAAAGTTGATCTGATATACCAAACAAGGCTCACGCACAATAATAAGATCCCAAATAGCAAACACAGGTAACCGTAACACAATATGGCTGCTAAGGAAAAGCTTGACTGACCCTCCTTGTGGCTCGACCACCAGGGCTCTCGGTTCCTTCAGGCCGTCCTTGTACAAGACCTTCCTGTAGTCTCCGTTTAACCAGGACACCTCAATGACATCCTTAGCCTTGTCACACCAGTACAGGTTCCTCCCCACCCAGTCTACAGCTATCCCGTCTGGGTTACTCAGGGCTGTACTGTGGAGCACCTGGGACAAAACACAGAAAACAGGGCCTGAAATACTACTGTAATTCGCTTTATGTTCAAGGTAGCAAAAGTTCACGGTCAGAGAAAAAAAGGAATGTTCACAGAACTACATATTCACGGTGGCGACAGGTGCAGGAAAAAGAAAGTCCAGGACTTACTTGTTAACAGTAATGATAAGTTCACAGTACAGAAGTGACAGTGAAAACGGTGAACATAACAGTATAGTGAAAAAATTAGGAATTACAGTTACTGTATTTTATGCATACCTGGTGTGGGAAACATTGAAAATTACCTGCACTTGACAAATTCTACCTGCACCAAACACTGCTTACCTACTACAACCTCTGAAAATTTTGGAAGTATAGATTACACTAAAAGCTGTTCAAAAACAATTACTGTTATTTCTTTTCTCCTTAATAGGTGGTAAAAGTCTCAATACAGCTAATAAAAATCCACAACTACAAACATGGCCCAGTGCAGGTTAGATGCAGGTACTAATATTAGACATTCGAAATACCAGCACAGTTCAATTTTACCTGCACTAGCCGACATGTGCAGTTGGTATTTCAGAAACAATTTGGGTTCCTCAAAATAAAAAATAAAAATAAAATTCTTACATGTATATTATTATAAAATCAGCCTTACCTCAAAGTTAGACCCGTTCACATAAGCCCTACGGATCATGCTCCTCTGTGTAGTCACATCTGTCCAGTAGATTCTCTCATCCTTCACATCAAAGTCCAGGGCTACAGCGTTGTTCAGACCTCCCAGCACAATCTCATAAGTTCTGCCCGCGAAGTCCAACTTACGGATGTAATACCGGTTGGAGAACATGATGTACGGCTTCACATCTGAACAGACAGTGAGAAAAGGACAAAAAAATGAATATTTTCAAGTTGCAAAAAGGCACACAAATTGCCCTAAAAAGAAGTAAACTATACAAGTTGAATTGAAATAAATGTAAAGTCAAGTGTAAGTTGGCGTGTTACTCCAACGGGCAGTTATACCGGCTATACAGATACAGAAGTCCTTGAATGCAGTCTCAATGACTGCTATCTTAAATTTACAGCAAAGGTTTAAATGAAGTAATGACGAATTGGCTAACAAAAAATCATGAACCACTGTGAAATTACAGTTTCCTCAGAAATACAGGGAAGCATGAAACAGTTCTACCAAGATACAGTTGTGATTAGACCTATATAAAATGTAGAGAAGCACACACAGACCTGAAGACACCTTACAGACCCCAGGTTGGGCTGGGTCTTTGCTGTAGCCTTCAGCACAGCGACAGCGATAGCTGCCGTAGGTGTTGATACAGTACTGGCTACAGGGGAATTCTGTATTACACTCATCAATATCTGAAAATATAAACACAAAAAGTCATCAGTTTCAGCAAATGTCTTGACAGGAAACCAAGCACAGAGAGGGAGAGGACTTCAGAAAAAAAAGCAGACCATGGAATAGAGAAAAAGTTGACTTGGTTATGTACCTTCACAGACAGCTCCGTTCATCCTGTAGCCCTTGTGGCATTTACACCTGAAGCCGATACGCAGGTCCTGGCACACCTGGGTACAGTTGTTAAACTCTGCATCCAGACATTCATTCCTCCCTGGGAGAAAAACAAGAATGATAATCTTAAGTGTGCTTCTTCATGCACATAGTTCTGATCATCTCTTTGAAATAAAATTTTTTACAAGAGGACAAGGTTAAAACATAGATGGGAGAGCCACAGACTTTCTGGAACCTATGATTCACTGCTCACTGAGTCACATGTGTCATCTGCATAACATGACAACACAGAAGCAGTGGATTGCTCATTTCTTGACAAAGACTGTAGTTGTACAGTGTAAAATTTGGGTAAGTCCAATTTCTTGTGTTTAAGTTTAAACTTCCTTCATAATGGCTTTTACCAACAGCAACTTTCAAGATACAAAAACATAGGGTCAGGAGCAAACTTGCATCTGACTGACATGTTGGTAGATATTCCAGTTCAGCAGACCTTTTTACAGTTTGACAACCAATTTAGCTTGGCGTTGAGGAGAAATAACTGTCAGACTTACCACACAGTCCTGCTGGTTCGTCTGACCCATCGCTGCAGTCCTTGTTGCCATCACAGGTCATGTTCCACGGGATACACTGGCTGTTCTCTGTACACATGAACTCCTCTTCACTACACGATGGCTCTATAATAATAATAACAGCTGCAATTAGCAAGAATGTTCATCTGTGTTCAAGGTGTGTTGTGAGTAGCTGAAAATCTGCACCATGCTGGGCTGATATATTGATATTGGAGGTATCAACAAAGAAAGGACTCCTCATGCAGCCTGGTTCTGCACTAGGTTTTAAACACCTACAATATGAAATAATGTGCTAATAGCAGGCAGTATATGTCTGACAATAGATATTGCCTTATCCAGAGCATTTCCCATATTAATACACAGTGATGATTGGGTGTCTTTGACTGACCTAAAACTGTGTTTGAACACAATAAGAAAGCGCAATGAGTGAATCCATTACTATCTTTCTGCTAAAAGCAGTGGACGATAATTCCTTAACAAAGACTAGATAAGAATCTACATGTATTTTATAGTGTTAAAATAACCTTTATGCTGTTAACATACTGGACACTGACCACATTTTTTATTGGAAGGAGCTTCATCTGAGTTGTCGTTACAGTCGTTGTCTCGATCACAAGTCCAGGAGGACGGGATACAGCGGCCGTTCGCACACTGGAACTGGTCAGGAGCACAGGTTGTGTACGCTGGAGGGAAACAAACAATAACACAGATTTAAAAACATGTAGTCAATGAGAACAGAGCCAAAAAGTTTTATTATTATTATCATTATTAATAAGGATTATCAGGGGTATGTAGTAAAACTGTTGAAGAATATACAGTCGTGAACAATACAAAGAAATGGAAAGAAAAAAAACTTTCTAAGAATGATGTTGACAATGTGTAAAACGTCTGACCAAAATCTTTCTCACAATTCTTGTTGAAACTGAGACAAACTTATCTGTACAGGACTTGATTTTTTTGCAGACTACACTTCTTTAAAAGTGATTTTATGTATCATGATAATCTTAAGCTTGGGGCACCAGTACCACATTTTCAATCTGAAAACAAATTTTCGCATTGTTAACTTCGCCTTCCTGCATTTGCCTGATTGTGTCTCGTGTATTACAACATTAAAGTCTGAAAGCAAATGGTCCAATTTCAGTGTTTGCTACAGGTATCATTTCTGTCAGCACAAGAGTGAAGCCTTACTGCATTCTTCCTCATCCGATCCGTCCCCACAGTCGTTGTCATGATCACAGACCCAGGCTGACTGGATACACCGTCTGTTCTGGCACTGGAACTCATCAGAGTCACACGTCTCTGTAAAGGCTGGGGGGAACACAAGAAAGAACAACTCCTTAGGATTAGGAAATATTCAAGTAGGCATGATATGGTACAATAAAATAGGTGTAGAGAAATGGTATTGCTACAGCAAAGGTACTGTAATAAAGGGACGCATGCACATTTTTCTTTCAAATTCTTTGAAACACTGGTCTTGAGAATTAGGGAATATACAGATGAACATGATTTGATGGGCGTGGGGATGTAAAACAGTACTGCTAGTGCAAAGGCATTACAATAATGCATTTTTCTTTCAAATTTAATCGGCAGTCTTAACTGCCTCCATAGAATTTCAAACCAATACCTCAATAATTAATATGAAGTAATCACGTTTTCAGCACCAAGGACAGGTACCAGTTTTTCTTCAACCTAAAGCATCAACAACAACTCTCTTTTGGTGTCTGAAATATCATAGCAAGTTACTTCTAAGTGAGTTAACTTACTGCAGTTTGCTGAGGCCATCTCATCGGAGGCATCAGGACAGTCATTGTCCCCGTCACAAGTCCAGTGTTTGGGGATACAGCGGGCGTTCTCCACACAACGGAACTGCTCAGGGGGACATGTGATCCGATCTGGGGCAGTTTGGAAAAGAAAAATGTTAACAAATACATTCACACACATCGACATCGTCTACTAGATACCTTTGACCCAGTATTGACTTCAAAGAAGCAACATGACACGTCTCACTGGGTCAGTCTACTGAGGAAGATCAGAGTGACTGGTCGAAAGCTCTAGGTGAGAGAACTTTATTGTGTTGGATCTACAGTTTTAACTTACATATGCCAAGGTGAATCCTTCAAGGTGGGCAAATCAATGCCATGGATGGGTCAAAGGAGCATTACTTGAGTTATTATGCTAAACATCTTCAAACTTCCCCATCTGAAATTCTAGCACATCTAAACCCCCAATAGACAGAGAATAGCAGACAAGAATCCAGAAAGTGAGTGCGTGAGTGAGTCCTTTTAGTTAGTACTACTTTTACTGTTCTAACAGTATTGAGGAAAACCCTTCATAAACGTGTATTGTACAATGCATCCTTTTCACATGAAGAGAAAAGATGCAAAGATGTGATAGATCTGCTATAGTAGACAGGAGAAAATTAAAGCAAAGCAGGAAGAAATCCAGGTGTTAATGGTGTTAGACCAAGGTGGTTCAAAAGAACCTTCTTGGTTAGACATAAATACTGTTTGTGCATTTCTCACCTAGCTGTTCTCTTATCCATTCAGCTATGCATGCACAAGTGGAAGAGTACATGTATGGCATGTGATGAAGGTGCAGTAAAATAAATCAAGCCACAAAATAAAAGGCTTAAAAAGATATGAAGTTGAAAGTGTTTCAAGAAAATTACGGTCACACGTAGAGAAAAAAAAACTGGTTAACATAGGTCCTAGGACACTAGTGGTTTTCACAATAAATAAATTGACACAAATGACAGTGACTGGATTTTAGGCCACACCGATTTAATTTTATGGATGACATCCACTGAAGATCCCCAAACTAGTGCGTGCCGGAGAATAAAAAAAATTCCGGCCAAAAATAAAAATGCTACTTAACCACAGGAATTGCTGGTATTGTACTGCTATTGTAGCTTCGGTAGCCTGGGTACCCGGCTCCGTATTGTCGCTAACTACCATGGACTACCCAGGCCTACAGCCAGGCCAGAGCCTTGGTGGACATGATCTTTTTTTTTTTTGAGAACTGGTGAAAATCAATGCGCGCATGGATGTCATCCATAAAATTAAGTCGGTGTGGCCTTACAGTAGAGACAGAAGAAATCATAGAAAGTGCAGTGGTGACCTGCTGGACAGAGCTACTACTACTACAGTACTACTACTATAGACCCTGCTTTGCCGTCCCCTGGAAAACTGCGACTGTAGAAACTCACCACACTGGAGGTTAGTAGATTCATCAGACCCGTCCTCACAGTCCTGTTCCCCGTCACACTTCCAGTTCAGAGGGATACAGCGGGTGTTGTTACAGGTAAACTGCTCCTTGGTGCATGAGAATGCTGAAAAATACATATTAGTAAGTGTTTATGAAACAAGCAAATTTCCCTGACAAAGACTGGAGTTGTACAGTCAAATATTTGGGTGAGTCCAATTTCTTGTTTAGTATATTGCATTTCAAACTTGTTTTATTGTTGCTTTCTTTTCTCAATGTTATTCTCTGCCATGTAGAAAACCAAAGGTGTAAAGGAAATATAGTCACAACAGCAAGGTAGAAATTGGCATGTAAATATGGAAAGACATGACATTAAACCCAGCCTAGTCTACCATCAAAATTTTCCCCTCAAAATGCAGGAAATAGTATTTAACAATTTTCCCTATCAGGGGAGCATGCCTCCAGACTTCCATAGGACTGTGTCTCCAATGCTCAGCATGATTTTACAAAATTGAGAAGACGGAAAAAAATTCAGGCTGCCTAGAATACTGCACAACAGTAAGACTGTAAAAGTTAAAACTTTTGGTCCAACACAAAAAATTCTGTCACCTAGAGCTTTCGACCAGTCACTCTGGTCTTCCTCAGTAGACTGACCCAGTGAAGCTTGTCACGTGGCTTCTTTGAAGTGTGACACCTTCCCAAAAGTTTTAACTTTAAACATGTAACTACCAACAGAGATGGCCTTTCATGATAGTATAAAACTATAAAATTTTTACTTACAACAGCTAGGTGGTTCATCTGAGTTGTCCCCACAGTCGTTGTCATTGTCACATTTCCAGGACTTGGGAATACAGCGGCCATTGTCACACTGGAAATAACCGCTACCACAGAAACCTGGGAACAGAGAAATGGACAACTGTTAAATTGACATTCCATCTTTTTGCTTACTTCAGCTATAATACACTTGTAAAACATACGTAAAGGTGACAAACTTCAGAAATATTTATGAGAGATTGACAATAGTATCACATCCGAAGAAAGACAAAAGGAATATACAATTCTGTAAAGCAAACTAAGTTGAAATACAATCATGTTAAATTGTGGTTTATCATGATAATCCAACTGCATGCTCAACATGGCTATGATGACAATGACAACAACAATAATATTCATTGCATCTTTATGCCCAGAGGGGCTAAATCAGTAGTAGTAAATGCACTGTTGAGGAACTAAAAGAGAGATTGAAGAGCATGTACTATAGTTACTGTACTACATCTAAACCTACAGTTTACTTGACTCTCCTGAAAAACATGATAGTGTAAAATGATGAATTCACAGATAGATATGCATGTAGAACAGGCTTACAGTTTTCCTCATCAGATTAATTGCACTGGGAAACAAGCACAACAATCTTAGGTCATAAAATTCGAAGCCAACCTCCACATCTTATATCAACACTTACAGTCTTCCTCATCCGAGTTGTCTCCACAGTCGTTCTCCCCATCACATCTCCACTGAGGCAGGATACACAGGCTGGTCTTGTTACAGTTGATGTACCCTGACAGGACCTCCTCCAGACCACGTTCTCGGTACGTACTGCAGTCCACAGGAGCTGGGGGAGAAACACAAGATAAAGTAACAGTTTCTGTACTGTTCTGTATACTCTACATGGATGTAACTATTGATAAACACATTCAACACTTGCAGCAAAACAAGCATTTACAGAGGACCAGTGCACTGACTTTGCATCCATTTTACATTTTCTATATAAAAAGATTTTGTGTTTGAACCGAAAAAAAAAAACATGTACACAGTCTTCTAATATTGACTTAAAGGAAGAAAGTTACCAACTGAAAACTTTGGGATGACATTCTGAAATAGGTCTTAGTTGATATATTAAAGCCTGCACAGCTGGAGGCTATTAAACTTCAATCAATAAACAACACACTGGAAGTTGAGCACTTACGACAACCAATCTCGTCTGAAGCATCATCACAGAAGATCCTCTGGTCACACCTCAGGGATTCATCAATACAGCGGCCGTTGTTACAGCGGAACTCTCCTGGGGCACAGCTCCTTTCATCTAGAAGAAGAAACAGTTATTGTAGAGTAGAACTCGCTGTCACCAAGTACAGTAGAGGCAGCATCACTAGAATAGCTTTAAACAATGCTTACAGTTACAGTTAGATGTGCAAAGTTTAGGTGTGACAGGCTGTTTGGAGTTATGTGCCTAGCTGCCGCCATGCCACCTGCCTGTTAAGCTTTTGTGTTACACTGAAGGGCGGTTATACCGGCTATACAGATACAGACACAGCAAAAAAGGAAGAGACAATTAATGATGGAGTTTTTACATCCTAACACGGCAACATGCCATCAAGCAAAGGGTCCTTCCTAAGTACTGAAATATTTGGTACAAGAGTATGATACATTCTGAATAACTTCTTGTGCTTTTTACCACCCTTTGACAACGATTATTCAAAGTTGCTGAATGAAGATTTATGTTTAGTAGCTAGAAGGAAATCTAATGTGAGAACATACCACATCTGTCCTCGTCAGAGTTGTCATGGCAGTCGTCCTTCCCGTTACACCAGAGCTGCTCCGAGATACAGCGACCATTGCGGCACCTCTTCCAACCATCACGGCAGTCACGGGTGGCTGAGAGGTTTCAAAAGTTTAAAAATATGTAAAAATCAACCGATTGCTGTCTTTTTTCAAAACAAAAGTATCTATAGCATGTATGCATGGCCTGACTTGCATCTAGGCAATGTACTGAAAAAAATTTTGAACCTTTCAGTCAGCGTTATCTCAATAACTTTCAGTCTGTACATGTGCACGTAGCAAATTGTAGGGCTCTTCCTACACAACACGTAAGTACTGTAAAAAAAAATAAGGTATTACAGTACTTCCAAAATTCTGAAACCTTCAGTCAGTTACCTCAAGAACTTGATGTCTGAACATGCACATATGGTGAATTGTACTGGATATTAGAGCTCTTCCTACATAACTGAAAACTAACTTACCATTTCCTATCTATACAATCATATAAGCAATGTACTGCCAAAATTTGAAACCTTCAGTCAGCTTTATCTCAAGAACATGTGAATAAGGATGTGGCAAATTGTACTGCATATTAAGACCTACAAAACTGAGGACTAACCTTATAGTTACCACTTCCTATCTATACATATAGGCAATGTTCTGCCAAAATTCTGAAACCTTCAGTCAGTTTTATCTCAAGAACATGTGCATGTGGATGTAGCCAATTGTACTGGATGTAAGAGCTCTTCCTAACTTACCACAGTAAGGGTTTGCCTCGTCACTGCCATCAATACAATCTGGGATGCCATCACACGAGTCCTCGTAGGCAACACAGCCGCTCGCACTGCACTCAAACTGGCTGGGAGAACAGGTCACTTCAGGCACTACAGGAACAATAGCAAATCAGAACTCAATGTCAGTGTTTAAATTCTTTTCTGTCTCAATAGTGTTAAATTACAACTATACCAACAGTAACGTTAAAAGCACTACCTACATATAGCGGCAAGAAGCAGAACTCCAGTCAGAAGCACTGAGGAGGGTGTCTGATAGACAGTGAAGCGTTAGCATGTGAGAGTTGTTACTGGTTGTGTAAAAGAAAAAGAAGGAAAATGAAAATCCTGATATCCTATGTTTTACTAACTATCTACGAGATATTGGATCCTAGTAAGGCAGTCACTGTACACTTTGTGTCAAACCCTCTTTTAAGACTGTACTCTTTAAGTAAAAGGTAAATGGCAGATGTATTTCTAGGTCAATCTGCAATTACACTACACACAAACTTCTGGTACATTGTCAGAAAAATTCTACTGATGGAAAAATCAGAGCACTTTGGAAACTGTTTCTAGAGAAAAATATTTTCTTCATAATGCCAATGTAAGTATAATGAGTGAACTCACCAATACATCTTGTGGCATCCATGAGTATTTTGGGTGGTCGGCAGGAACAGTTGACCAGACCGTTGGGCATCACGCTGCACTCATGGTCACAGCCTCCATTCAGGGTACGGCAAGGACTCAACATGCCTGGGAGAGGGAAGCACAGAAATAAATTTCTAAAAGTCTAAAAATCGTTACCATTCTTCACACAGCATTAGCAGCAGTTTTTATAGCCAAGATGTTCACAGTGTACACCAAGGAAGACACTGAGGAGTTCACATTTTCTACCTTGCCATTGTGACAACCTTCTGGTAGTCCAAAGGATAGTGGCAACCTGTCTGTAGTGTTCACTATAGTGGCTACCTTTGTACAGTGCACTATAGACATGTTTGAATGACACACACAGTAACACACATTTCAGCTGGCTGTGGGAAGAAATGCATCGAACAACTTAGTAAAGCCAACGGCTCACAAGTCTTAGGGAGTTCTCACATTCATATTATGTGCAGAAAGCAGTAACTGTCAATCATTTGGACCTGTCCTCGGTGCTGAAAGTATGCTTGTTTTCCATTAAAAAGAAGAAAAAAATGTCCAGATTTGTCATATCAGGGACTCCCACAGCAGTATAATTTGACTGGATACTACTACTACTACTACTACTACTACTACTACTACTGCTACTACTATTACTACTACTACTACTACTATTACTACTACTACTACTACTACTACTACTACTATTACTACTACTACTACTGCTACTACTACTACTATTACTACTACTACTACTATTACTACTACTACTACTATTACTACTACTACTCACAGTTGTTTGTCTCGTTTGCGACAGCGATGATTCCCATTGGCTGCTGGCTGATGTCGCTGCGCAGAACCTTCACGTTGCTGCCGTCCAGCTTGTTTGCGGCCATGACTGACCGCCGGACCCAGTCCGTCCAGTAGATGTAGTCACCGTACACAGCCAGGCCGAAGGAATGCACTGGTTCTACTTGTAGGATTACCTGCAGAAGGGAAGCAATATGTCATTAATCTAAACATATTAAACTAAAGATAAGTTTATAGGTAAAGTACAAACATCTGTAATGGTGAATTACAGCACCATTTTGAGATAAGCCCTATAAAGTCAAGGCTTTAAAAATTAAAAACTTTGGGAGTATCTATTTTATGGACTAAATAACAAACAAACAAAATGGGCATACCAATGATGGTACAAACATAACCTTATTGAAGGTTTACCCAAAATATTGAAGAATTGTCAATTCCTAGGTCAGGAAAAAGGAATATTTTTCAACCCTGGAAAAACAAAATGAAAGAAACTATATAGCAACTGTGTGCATTTATCAAGTTTCTTCAAAAGCCTGTATTTAACACTTACCACTCTTTTGCTGCCATCGTAGTTGCACCTCTCGATTTTGTCGAGTGTTGCGTCTGACCAGTAGAGTTTCTCGGCTGTGTGGTCGATGGCGAGACCGTTGGGTGTCCGGATGTCGTTTCCCTTCACGATGGACCTGACCTCCTGACCCCCGACGTAAGACGTCATGATGCTGGGACTCTTGTCATTCCAGTTGGTCCACCAGATCCGTCTGGAGTTCAGACAAACCATCATGTTAATGCTACAGACCAATTCACCTTTACCAAAAACTTACTTAGATTTTGGGGTTCACGTGTCTTCCTACACATAAGGCAGTCAGAGTGTTACCAGCATACTTAGCCAGCAGCCAGTCTCTCTATATCCTTCCAGTTCAACTTAACTGTTTGCTGGTCCCTCTCAATTGTTTGTTTATATCTTGGGTCACGTCTTTTCCCATGGGTCCCAATTTCAGACTTGCTAGCCTTACTGACAGAAAGAAGTATTGTAGCATGGCAAAGCCAGCACTTAGGCAGAATGTCTTAATTAAGGTCGTATTTAAGGATGAAGTTTTCTATAGTTTTCAAATCTTGTGTCAGAAAAGATATTGTCTGCAATACGCAAAATTCTGGTGAAACATTGGCCGAATATCCAACAAAAACTGAAAAATTCTGGTTTTACACAAGTGCAGTACAGTCTACCAATGTGCAATCTTGACACAGCTTAACAAGTACTGTTCTTCTTACCCTTGACATTCATCCAGCACAATAGCCCTGGGGTGGTCTTCCTGGGAAAGGACAACGATGGTCTCATTCCGTGCCCCCGGCTTGGTCTGGTTCAGAGAGAAGCGGCGGATGTTGGAGTCAGTGTAACTCGTCCAGAACAGTTCATCATTCCTCCTGTGGTAGGCCAGGCCCTCAACTGACCCAACATCTGTGTGAATGAAAAAAAGTTTACTTGCCTCCTTTTTGCTGTATATTTAGAGAAAATAATCATCTCTAAATTGGACTGAGGAAAGAGCATAAGCATCCAGCTTTTTGCCAAATCCTCAATAAACAAATGTGATCATGAATAAAACATGAAAATTGGACAAACAGCTGTTACAGTTGAACAGTTTCAGGAACACTTGAAAATGTGCCATCCAAAAAGAATCAAGAAAAAATATCAACTCTTGCTATTAAATCAAAATAGAAAGACAGGGACATTAGTTAACAAATTTGTGTTTTAAAACTTTCTTTTTCTTGTCACCATATACCCCTAACTCAAGAGAACCATTCCCATTTCCAGAACAACCAAATTAGGAGCTCAGGATTCCTTATCATAACTCACTTTCCACGATGATCTGCTGTCCTGTCCCGTCCTCGTACACAGACTGGAGGTTCCCGTGGTGAATGTCGCTGTAGAAGATCCTCTTCTTGTTGGTCCCGTTGCCGTAGTCAAATGCAAGACCGATCACATTTCGCATGTTGTCCTTCAGCTACAGACAGCAAGGTGCAGGGCATGAAAACGTTTTTCAGCATAATGGACACACGATGGTCAAAAAGGCCATCAAAAATCCTCACTTGGAAATCATTAATATTAATGAGAAATCGGTGTCAATCAGTCATTTCACTATTGGCAACAATAGCTGATTGGTTCACGCTTTAGCGGGCGGGGCCTTGGCATGTTTTGGTGACACTTCGAGTCGCTGTTTTTTTTCCCGCGATCTTGTCCTTTCATATGCGCGCCTTTCCCCGCCCCTATTGTTCTTTAATTCACACAATTAACAATGCCCCAACACTCATTCAAGCCATGTTTAATTTCCTTATGCCACCAACAATAATTCGCAACTGTGCTGCAATTTGTCTTATTTCGTAATTCAACACACTGAAAAAAATTCCACAGATATTAAAGTTCCCCGGGTCCAATCGGCCTTGATCGTGCTATTGCATACTTCAGACGGCACGGAACGCGCCGGCATCGGCTGCATGACAGAACATCTAGAATATGTCTAAAAAATTCCAGACTCGAGTGATTATTCAAGAACATCTACCAAAAACACACTACATACGATTCAGATACATTCTTATACATGTATTCTTGTTGTACCTGTTACTAAACAAGGTTTACGGCGCGGAAACAGCACAGAAGCCATGATTGTTTGGCCGGCGTGCCGAGTACTTCGTCTAATACGGGGAATGCATCGTAACGTTCTGGAGTCAAATCATAGACCGTACTAAAAACATAATCGTACTAAGAAGATTTTAGAAATAGTAGAAGTATAATAGTAAATCTTTGTAGAAGAAAGTCGGCTGAAGCCAGAGTTTTTTCACAACATATCTGGATTAGACCGGTTCCCTCCTTTTCCTTTGTTTACAAACCGACGCCATTTTGTGTCACAGTTTATAAACCTACAGTCCCTTTTTTTTATTCGTGCTAAGGAGGTTATCCACCTACCTGCATTTCAAATCCCAAATAACACATTCAAGGCAATGTTCAGCGTTCTATCTCTAGCAACCATTTTTGTCGATCACTGTCGATGCTATGTTTCAGCATGGAGGTAGAAAAAACCTCCATGGTTTCAGTTACTCGCGCGTGCCTACACAAAGCTTTTGTGATTTTTGTCAAAATTATTTCTTCAAACCATGGAGCTTCAGGTTCCAACCGACGACTTCGACACGGTTGCACGACGGAACGGATGGGGATAGTTTTAGATTTACCATATGATGTCGCCTAAATAAACCAAGAAGCTTAAAAAACATACGGTGGGGAAGTAAATTTTATTCTCGTTCGCTACCGCGACGTAGTTTTGACTTCTCTTTTTCACGGTACAATGATTGGCGTCCACTTGGGGGAATATGAACTTTCCCTGATAAATACGATATATACGACTGGAAAAATTCCTTGAACTGTCAAAGAAAATCTTCTCAAAAGGACAGTATCGCGGTTGATTTGCATCGAGCCAACGCACTGTTGTCTTTAAAACTCGCGCCCGGGAGGAGAACAATAGGGCCACGCTGGTCGAAATTTCCATTTCACTGGCCTTCCCGGGAGGAAGGTGAGAACGAACCACTCTGATCTCCACCGACGTCCTCATTATAACTCTAAAACAAACCCTCTGTTCCACGTGAATTTTGAACTAAAACGCAGAAAATGTATTTTGAGCAATATCTCCCGATCCTATCGGTAGAATTCTATAAAAAATACACCAATCGAAAAAGTAAACATCTGGCCGCCATCTTGAAAAAAATGACGTGATTCTCTTGCGCCGTTATGGAATTATGGGAGAAAACATACTAGAAAATCGACAAAATAAGTTAAAAACTCACAGACAACAAAAATTCTACAAGAGAAATGGAATTTAAAGGTCCTAAAGTTTACAGTATGGATAAAACATATGTTTGATGCGTAAATTAGCGAAATGTAGCGGTAGGTTAAAGTTCAATGACCCAAAATGACCTCATGTACGCACGTACAGTCGGCGGGAAATTTGAATTGCATTCTACGTTGTCATTTCTTATTTTATACATATTTCGGGAGCGAACTAATTTTTTGTGTGTGTGCGTGATTCTTTTTCTAACTTCATAATCGCATCGTGCGTTATATTGGGCGAAAGTTGTGTTGTTTATCTGAACACTGCCGCTGCTCACAGCGCACCGGGTTGTGGGCGGGGCCTATTTGCTTAGCAACGAGGATTTTAACATAGCAACGGGACCACCGTGACAAGGCATGGATACAAAATGAAACTTTTTTGCTGGCATGTGGCAGCAGCTGGTTATAAAATGCTGAATCACACCTAACCTACCCAATGTACAAGCAGATAAAGGTAAAATTTTTAACTGCCATAATTTGATGAAATAAAATTACCACAAAACTTATCATGGTACCTGAAGATATTATATCATAGACATGTTATGAAACCAAGTTCCCTTACCTGAATAGTCCCTATAGGCCTGTTCTTAGAGTCCAGGACATGAGCACTCTTCAGGCTTACCCTCTCTGAGTACAGCAGGTAGGCATCATGTTCTGTAAGAACATAGAATTATTGTGCAACAGTTCTTTATTCTTTTATCTGTACAATGTAAATCTCAATGTAAAGCGATCTAGCAGGCAGCATGCTTTGCTTTTCCATAGCTATTTTCATCACAAATTACTTATTCTGGGCACTTTTCATTGTTAGTTCTTCTCAATAAAAAGTAAGCATAGTTTCAGCACCAAGGATAGGACCACCCTATAGAAAATTGCTGCTGTCTGCATGGAAAACTATACAAATTTGCACTATTATAGATTTAAAAATGATTTTCCAGGGCACAGCTAAATAAAAAAGCCTCCCCAAACCTCAACCTATAGAAAAACAATAAATTGAACATCGCTTTTCGCAATGCATCCCCTCTCAAAACAATACACTCCCATTTTTAATCAGATTTTCCATTTTAATTCAACTAACTTATGACTGTATGTTACATATTGTTAACTATCCTGATGAAGTGGTCATTGAAAATTTGATCTCAGTGTAACTAACCCTTGTTTTGGAAGTTCAACATTTTACTATGATTACTACCAACACAGATCAACTGTCAAGGTAATATGTTATATATTGTGCATAACTTACCTTTACAGCTTGTGCCATCATCAGCCAGCATGCCATGTCCACAGCGACATTTCCTCTTGTTGTTGCCCACATACAGACACAGCTGCTCACACCCACCGTTCTCCACTATCTTACCGTCTGTGCCCATGTGAGGACCACAGATGTTTGTACCTGAACAGAAACATACCGATGTTGAAATATCAAGAACATATCTAAGAGTTCAAATGAAATGTATGGCTTAACATCCATCAATGCACTGTGACACACTTAAAGTTTTGAAGCATAACTTGTTTTAGTATCTCAAAAGTACAAACTGCAAATACTGACTATCAACAGCCACAATAACGTACATACAATCTACAGCAGAGTCAATGCTACACTATCAGAAGAAATCAAATGCTGCAAGATATCAAAGGGCTAATATTTTACTCGATTTTTACACTGTAAATTCATATGTAATACAATATGTATTTAAAGCTTTTAAAGGTATTTTGTTTTTGACATTAGGAGACATACTCTACATTCTGACACATGTTGAAATACAATTGAAACTTCAATTTAACTAGACTTTTTGAATTCTAGTGTCCTTCCAAATCTTAAACCAGGTAAGCATTACACATAAAGCACAGAAAAGAGTGGACTATACCATTCTGTCTCTGCTGACTGAACACAGCGATGTCCTTGAGCTGAATGCCCAGGTTTTCCCTCAGTGTGCGCTGGTTGATAGTGGCATTGTCTTTGTTCCCCATCATGATTACACCACTCTTGTAGGTCCTGCAAAAGGTGTTGGTACATTTTAGAGAATTTTAAACTGATACATATAACCTAGACTAAGTACAAAATGTGTAAGCAATGGTGCAGAAATTTGCCGACTATGTAACACATGTGTTGTGTTGTTACAATTTAAATGAATTCAAACTACAAAATGGAAAATGATGTAAGAATCTAATTTAGTTTTAACTTATTACAGAGCTACTCTTCCACTGGCAGTAACAAATATCACAGATGATCAGTACCTTATTACAGTATACATGAGGAATACAGATTCATTGTACTGGAAAAATAATGTACAATAAACAATGGAGAAAGCAAATTTTGGGATACAGTATTGATCAACATTCTTCCGTGAGTCAGTAAAATGAACTGCAGGCAATGGTTTGTATGGAAAAAAACTGAACTTCTGCCCCTCACCTATCTGTCCAATATATGTTGTCTTTATACAGGCTGATAGCAAACAGGTCCTGATTCTCAACCGTCAAGATGTATTCGTGATTCTGTCCATTTATGCCGATCCTCTCGATACTGTTACTGTTGGCATCCACCCAGTAAACCATGTTTGTTTCGTAGTCGACTGCCATGCCGTTGGGCCACTGTAGACCGGTGCCGTTGTAGAGGATGATTCTCTGTGAACCATCCATGGCCGCTCGCTCAATCTTCTGTTGGGCGCCCCAGTCTGACCAGAAGATGTAGCTGTAGTATAGAGAAAACAACATGTGAACTTTGTTGTTTGGTTGTTTACCAATGAAAACTTAGTGCTCCATAGTATTAAGTAATAGCAGAGAAGAAAGTATTTAAAAACTGAGTGGGTCAAATTGTGCAAAAAGATATTCAAGGGCCATTTTACAACTAAAAAGGCCTTCTCTTTGTTTGTTATTTTGGTTCACCTTCACAATAAAGGGATTTCCTCTAGATACATGTTGATCTTCACATTCATAGTGCAAACTATGCTTTTTTAAATAATACAGTCAAGATGGAGTCTGAAAGATGCTTTAGATTTATACCGGAGTTTTACCAATTTTTTTTTCATGTGCAATGATCAACCTCCAATCTTTGGTGTCTTTCAGTTTTGATGCAGTCTTTTGCTGAAGTACACCATCTACAAATTAAAGTACTGTGTACATACCCTAGTGTAGGATGCACCACAATGTCTCGAGGTTTGTCCAGATCAGTAGAGACGATGACATGTCGGAATGAACCGTTCCAGCGAGCAACTTCAATCAGGTCAAACTGCTGGTCTGTCCAGTAGATGTTTTCTGCAAGGAAATTCAGCATAATATTTTGTCATAGACATCACCATTAATAAGCTTCAATAAAGCTTCAATTAATCTTATAGATCAACATGTAAAAGGACTATCAATTTTGAAAGAAACAAACATTATTTCATTGGAATCGTCACATCTATATCATGCTTTTCTTGATAGAACAATATTGTGGTTCTATTGGACGCTGCTAGTGGTCAATGAAGAAAGAACCTACAATTTCACCTTTGCATTTGTCCTAGCCCAACTCAAATTCAAACAAATCATAAACATTTCTTCTAGCTTTTCAAATCATTCTGTTCTCAAATAAACATACAAAAAATACAACATCCTTTCAAGAGCCAAGAATTCTTCCCCCTCTTAAAGAAGTGTAGAAGCAGCGTTGGCAGCAGGAGCTAGCTGGCTCATTGGAATGTCTTAAAGTTTGTCTTACATTTTGTTATGATCTGTCTAAAAAAAAGAAGTGTATACTTACTGGCGACCCAGTCCACAGTTATGCCCTCGACCCGCCCCATGTCTGTGGTGATGACTGTGTCCTGCCAGGTCTGGTTACGGTTACTCACGTGGATGGACTTCATGGCTGTGTCCACCCAGTAGATCGTGTCATTTTCTGAAAAAAACATGATAAAAATTCTATCAAAATCTTTTAAATTATGATAAAAGAAACCTCTATACTAATCTGTTCATTACTACAAAAAATCTAGCAAGTAAAAGTTAAAGACATTGCTTTACTTCATTTATTATTTCGCTGCAAAGAACACAATCATCCTATCAATATCTTTCCAGACACTGGGATAAAAAGGCTTTAATCATGATTATAATCAGATAAGCTATAAAACATCAAGACTGTTAGCATCTGGAAGGTATTCTCTGGTTTGGAATAGCTATTTTCCTCACAAGCTACTTCATCTGAACATTTTCCATTGTCACTTCTTCTCAATGGAAATTAAGCAAAGTTTCAGTACCAAGGACAGGACCACTCGATTGACATTTACTGCTTTCTGCATGTACCAAAGTGTGAAGAAAATTCAACCAGCTCAGCCCTCTTCTAACTGATTTTTGCAAAGACAGAACAATGATCTATCCTGTAGCAGGGACAATGTTTTTAACATATTCCAAAGGATAAATACCTATAGTTACAAAGTTAAAGCTTTAGTTCCAACACAAAAAGAAAGACACCATGAACTTTTGATCGAAAACGTCAAAATTCTATCAACACAGATGAGCTTTTGTTTCAACAGTAGAAAGGATAAATACCTGCGAAGAAGTCTATGGCTACAGCGAGAGCACTGCCTCTGATGGGTGACAGGGCGTCTGACGGCTCACTGGTTTGTTGTGGAGCCAGCTGGATACCTCGGATTTCCTCATGCACAGAGTACAGGATGAATTCACTCAAACCTGAGAGGAAGAAAAAAAGTTTATCATAGTGTTAAAAAAATCAAAAAGTACATTCAAGCCATATTTTGTTCTTGGGGGCTTGCTTTCTTCACATCAAAGCTCTTGTCAAAATATGCCAAAAAGCAGTTACTCAAGCAACTGGATATGATTTTGGAAGTGGTCAGACGTTTCAGCTAGTATCCACTAGCATTCATCAGTGACTGAGAGACCAGAGGAGAAATGCATATTTATAAGCACAAACTATAGATTGATATGCAAATAAAGTGACTTTATTTGCATATCAATCTATAGTTTGTGAAGACAATTGTCTTCACTTTATTTGCATATCAATCTATAGTTTGTGCTTATATTTCTTCTCTGGTCACTCAGTATGTGGTAACACTTGAAATAAATACAGGCTTCACTTTTCTATCATACAATGAGCCACCATGACATGCCTTCCAAGCTGGTGTGCAATGCAAGCAGTTTTACACATCACTAAGCTAGATACAGACATTCACATTTCACGTTCGGAAAAAGAATTGGTCATTACTTATCCTGACGAAGGTTACAGCCGTCATTGAAAATGTGATCTCTACATTTGTGTTGGAATATGGTTTAGCAATGTACTATAGATACAGGCATGTACAAGAATTGATCCCTATGTACCAGTGCACTTCATGTTGTCAGCCTGTAGCTCGTAGCCAGCTGTACAGCTACAGGTCTTCTTCACAGCACCAGCAGGCAGGCACAGCTGCTGACAGCCTCCGTTGTTTGTGGAGCATGGGTTACTGCCACTAGGGCCTGTAGGACAAAATAGTTTCTGTTCAAATTTCTTCACATCATTCAATTCACTTCACAATGATACCACTTCACAATGATACCAACATCATTTTCAGATTTTTAGTCTCTTGCCAGTTAAGAATTGGTGTCAATGTTCCAATTCCCCAGAAGGTAATTGGCCATCAAGCTTCCAGGGGCCGGACCAGCAGAAGGGCTGCTAGAAGTGAGATGCAGTCAGGACATTGAAATAGGATTTACTTTATTAATTTTCATACATACAACACAATACTTGATTTGTATCGATCTTCAACTGCCTGGAACATCTATAGGATTGTTGGTCAAATACACAAGTAATATAATAAGTTTTACACAACATAATAACTATTACACTTCTACAAAACATTTTATATTCTCACTGTTAAAAAACTGTAGCTTCTCCCAGCTTACCTGTCCTTGTCTGAACTTCAGAGTCGAAGATCTTGATGTCCATGACCTTGGTGGTACGAGCTCGGAACACCTTCAGACCGCTGCCGTCAGCCTTACTGGCCACCATGATCTGATCTGAGGTGTGGTCTCCCCAGTACATCAGGCTACCTGTGGGCAACAGTGGCAGATGGAAGGCTTAATAAACACATTTTATAGTCTGGAATCCTTTCATAGTTCCACCTAGAATAGTTTGGCACCTGTTACCCACTTAATTGTTAGGTCCTTACTTCCTGCACTATACTTCTCAGGAGCATTGTAACTCAGAGTCAATCAGAACTCTCAAAAAAAATATTCAAGGCAAATCTTTACATGCCCATAGTTTCTCTGTCAACAGAGTGCAGAGGAGCTATCAAAGGAGCAAAAAGAACTACAATAGAGAGGATATCAGACTACACATTTCATACAATGTATGGCTAATTTAATTAGGGAGGCATTTTTTCAAGTTTGAAAACTTGAGTTTGTTGAATCTTAATACTATCTCCATTGTAAATTCATCAATAGCATTGTGTCAGGTATCCTAAGAAACCTTCTTCATAGAGAATGCAAAACTACTGCTATAACCCATTTCCCACAGCCAGTGCATATGGTCTGCTCATGTTCTGTTATTTATCATTAACACTGTGTCATACTGTTTATGAACAAGATTTCTAATGATATGAGTAACTAACACTGTAACCCACCTCCCACAGCTAGTGCATGTGGCCTGCTCATGTTCTGTTGTACAGCCCCAGCGATGGTCTTCATGTCACTTCCATCCAGGTTACAGGAGGAGACAGTTTTGTTACTGTTGATCCAGTAGAGTCTCTTCCCCACATGGTCCATGGCTAAACCTGAAAGAAAAAGAAATCAGAGATTTAAGACTTCCTAGAAGAATTAGGGGGTCACTCATCTAATCTTTAGCTTCCATATTTCCCAATGTTGACCTCTTATTCCTGGTGGCTCCATTTCTTGTCTGACTTTTTGACCCTCACCGACTCTGTACGGCTATACAGACACACCAATCTACAGCTCAGCCACTCAAAACAATACTTCCATACAGCTCATACTGGTGAATACCTCAAATTTCAATTTGAAAAGACAGCAGAGGAAACTATTTCCTTAAAAAACAATAACTAACTGTGTAATTTAAATAGTACACTTGACGTGGACTCACTCAGTGTAGTGACATTTTGAACAATTTTTGAAACAGAACTGCCGTCAGCGTTGGCACGTCCGATGTAGGGAACATCTCCACCATCAGACCAGAAGATCAGACTAGAGATGGGAGAAAAACAAATCAGAGAAATTACTTTATTTTTGGCACACTATTAGGTAAAACTACTAAGTTTCTCCTTAGGTTACTATGTGTACATGGCCTCCTTCAGTTAATATTGACCATGATAAAAATCCTAATTAATTTCAACCCTACAGCTTCAGCTATGGCTGGCTGAACAGTCCTATATGAGCATGACAGTCTCTGCCACATAGGGTACTTTTGTAACCTGACTCAAGTATGTAGCAAAGTTCTTACTTATTACGATATAATATATTATGTATTTAAATTTATTGAGAAATAGAACATCACAAAACAGAAATAGTATGATTCCATTACTTAAATTTATGCCAGTGGTCTGAACCTACTAACATGAAGGCAAAGGCTTGAATCTAAGTAATACTATTCAGTGTAGTGAGCTATAATTTCTTCCTACCCTTCTGAAGGATGAACAGCCAAGTATCCAGGAGCAGTAAGAGACATGTTGAGATTCCTCTTGAAGGAGCCGTCCAGCTGAGACACCACAATAGCCTTCTTCTCCCCAAAGTTGACTGTCCAGTACAGGTTACGGGACAGCCAGTCCACAGCTATGCCCACTGTGTTGGTCAGATCTGCAGGTTCAAAGCAAAAGTGAACATCATAATTAAATGGATTATCATACAATATTTCACTGTTTGTTTTTTAATTAAGTTAGCTCATGCAGACCTATGAAAAAGTTTATTATACATTTAAATGATATAACAACAAATGAACTTAAAGTTGTTCTTAGGACACCAAGACAAGATATAAAACCATGCAGAAAAATGTGTCCACTGACTTTCTGGTGGTCTTTTCCATCAAAGAACTTATACCATGATTATTTCACTCTGTTCACTTTGTTTGTGATAACACAATGCTAACCAATATTTCTTAAAATTAGACTACTTTTTAATGGACTATCTCTGTAAGAACACAACCTTCTTCACAAAGTGTTAGATAAAGGAATACAACCATCACCTTGAGATGTGACCAAAGTTTCCACATCAGAGCCGTTCAGAAATGCCCTCCTGACAGCAGGAAACCTCAGGTCTACCCAGTAGATCCTCTCCTCTTTAGCGTCAAAGTCCACAGCTGTGACGTTACCGATGTGAGGGAGGGTCAGGGCAGACATCATGTTGTAGTAAGGCTTGAGGAGGTCCACACCTCGCACCTCCAGCTGACGGGCATACAGCAGGAACTTGCCATCCACTGAGGGGGAAAAACATGAAACATTCAGAGCTGTGTTCTAGCCCAGCCTGAATTATATCATCGCAATTTTGTTCATGTAACATCATGTTGACCCTTCACCCTCTGTAACACCATTTCCTGCACTTTGAGGGTCAACTTTTGCTGGTAGGCTAAGCTTAGTTTAATGTCATCTCTTTCCATATCTTACAAACCAATTTGTCTGTCAAAGATGATGGATTGGGTAAACTTTTTTCTGTCATTAGCAGCAAAATTTTATCAAATGATAGAAAGACAGATGCTGGCTAGAACACTGCTTCAGAGGGTTTTCCAAATGTTATAAAGAGTCTAACTTGTACGTACATACCCCAACAACTAGGTTATTACACGTAGGTCAACAGACTACATTGTAGGTAGGTAATTAGACTCATTGTAGGTAGGTAATCAGAACACTTATCGCCTTGCCCAAACCAAAGAAGCCACCGGGACCTCCTGCAAACCTACGTCCCATTGTCCTTCTGAACAGCATACGTAAGATCTTGTCAACGGTCGTACTATACCGCATCAGGGACAAAATAGACGTTTTTACAGGACCATACCAAAGTGGCTTCAAGAGTGGAAGAAGTTGTGCAGACTTAGTATGGGCACAGCGAATGCTTACCTCAGTAGTCATGTCCAAACATTGGGACTTCTACAAGATGGGAATTGACATGTCCAGGGCATTTGACACCATCAAACGGTCAAAAGTCCTAGATGTACTGGACCAGGCAGGATGTAATGAAGACGAGCTGCGTCTCGTGAGACTGCTTTTGGCAGGCACCAAGCTGCAAGTCCGTGTCGGATTAACTTACTCAGCTGACTTCGAAGCAACAATAGGGTCCCCACAAGGTGACAGTCTTTCCCCCGTACTGTTCACCTGCTACTTAGCATCTGCACTTTCCACAGTCAGGAGGTACTCTACAAGACCCAACCCTCCAATATCACCACTTGGCTTGCCATTGGAAATGGAATATGCAGACGATGTCGATTTTATCGACGAGGAAAGAGACACGTTAGAAGGACTACTGCCGGTAGCTGCTAACAATCTGAGAGACTCACATCTATTCATGAATGAAGCCAAGACAGAATTTTCCCATGTTTACTTGGCAGACACACTGGAAAAAGATGAGAATGAACAACCACTCCGTGGCAACGAGGAATGGAGAAAGAGTAAAATCCTAGGCTCCCTCCTCTGCAGCTCATCTGACATAGCAGCACGGTGCACCATGGGCAACATAGCGTTTAAGTCCCTCTGGAAAATATGGATTCGACGATCAAAAATTCCATTAAAAAAGAAGCTGCAACTGTACAATGCCACCTGCGTGTCAATCATGCTCTACAACTGCAACAGTTGGGCAGCACCACAGACAGCAATAGACAAGCTAGATGCCTGCCACCGGAAACATCTAAGAACAATCACAGGACATCGATGGCCAAACAGTCTAATCTCAAACAAAGCACTGTACAAACTGTGCAATACAGGCCCGTTGTCAACTAAAGTGAAATGTGCCAGATGGACCATGTTCGGACACATTCTATGAATGCCGACAGATACACCTGTACAGCAAGCCTTGACCTTCGCCCTGGTAGGATCTAATACTTACAGACCCAGAAAGGGAAGGCACTGCAGTAACCTACTAAGTCTGCTGAGGGCAGACCTCAAGGAAAGAGGACTAGGACCATTGCGGTCAGAAAGAAAACTCCAGGAGCTCAGGAGGCTCGCGATGAACAGGACAAAGTGGAGAGAACTGAAGAAAGACTGATTGATGCTGCAGGATGCAGAGCTACTGCAGCAGCAGAATACAGTGGACTACTACGACTACTAATCAGACTCAGTTTTCGGGAGTCATGACGGTATATCACAATAAGTAGAGGAATATTGCACATGATACGTTAGCCCAACTCCACAGCCTAGAATAACCTGCTATTTTCTTGGCTAAGCTAAAACTTCAGTGTACTCACATTCACAAGTCTTGTTGTCAGCCTTCAGCTTGTATCGCTGAGGACAGCGACAGGCGTACGATCCCTTGTACCCGATCAGACACAGGTGGGAACAGTCGTTCTTCGTTTTGTTTGCACAGGGGTGGTCAACTGACAGTTTACATGTAGGGAGAGAAGAAAAATGTTCTAGCATTGAGGAGAAAAATATACACTTTTTTCTTGCATACATAATTTGAGTTCATCTCTATAAGTGGGGAGAAAAGATTAACATCATAGCCTTGAAAAATGATCAATATCTTCACATTTTTCTTGTATTTACTCTTTTCTTCTTTCTTTTTTTACTAAACAACTTACAGTCACTAAAGGGGCTTTACAAAGATAAACCTTTGTAAGACTGTTTTTTGCTATACTTACTTCGCTCTTATTTGGTGCATGATTTCTAAGCTTGTTGGGTCTGTATTTCTTTTGACTCATTCACTCACTCATTCACTCACTCATTCCAGCCTTGATGACTCACCGGAGGGTTGTCTGGTGGGGTGAACGATCTGTAGGTCAAACGGCTGGGTGCTGGTTCTCTGCAGGATGGTGAAGTTCCCGCCGGTGTACTTATTGGCTGATGCCAGCATGTTGGTCCTCCAGTCTGTCCAGAACACCTGGGAAATATGCACAGCTTTAAGTCATCACATCACTTTGCACTACCATTGTAGATTGGAACTTGCTGCCACCACATACAGTAGGGGCATCACCACTAAATAGCTTTAGACAGCATTTGCAGTTAGATGTGCAAAGGCTAGGAGTAACATGTAACTGTAATATAGCTAGCTTCCGCTGCACTGTGTGCCTGTGAAGTGGGTGTGTTATGCCGAAGGGCTGTTATAATGGCTATACAGATACAGATATAGAAGGAAGCATGCTATTTCAACTGTACTTGAAGTTATGAAATGGTAGGGTTAAACATAGAGCCCTTAAAATTTGAGAGCCCTTAAAATTTGAGATTTGACACTGAAGACCAAATTACATTTTGGGCTCCTAAAAGAGGTTAATTGGGGATGCAGGTGGGTATGAGAAAGAAAATGAGGTATCTTGACTAGGACTAAAACTAAAAATGCTGGTTAATGTTTGAATGTCTGACCTTCTCAGCATACAGAGAGATGGAGAATGGATGGCTGAGGTGGCGATGTCCCCACAGGACTTTCCTCACAGCTTTACCATCATAGTCTGCTGATGTGATGGAGTCAGACCTGAAAAACAGCAAAGAATATCTGTGCAAGATGCTTTGTGTCTATCAGTACAAAATTATTGCTTTTGCTGTAATACAAAGGAAAACAATGCCTTAAGTTATGTTCTTAATAATAACCAGCTGCCGCTATGTTATGTACCTGCAAAGAAGAAGAGTGTTACATTGGCCACACAAGTACAGAATGTTTTATTTTGGACATAAAGATAATATAATGGTAGTGTTTTCTATTTGCAAGTTACTGCAAGGAAGAAAATTTTCCATCCAGTTACTTTCAGCATGTTAAAGCTGCTTCATCATAGGTACAAGACATAGGCCATGAATGCAAGATAATTAACACTGCATACTGACAGTGAAGCATAAAACATCTACAGGCAATCAAGACAACTACACAGCTTCCATTTTAAAAACAAAAATTTTACTGACTTTGCGTCGACCCAGAAGATCCTGCTGTCCAGGTAGTCCACAGTCAGACCGTTTGGCCAGCCCCCGTCGCTGGCCACCCAGTGGATCACACTGCGGTTTGTACCACTCATGTCACACCGCTCGATACGGGCACGGTTAGACTGCCAGTCTGTCCAGAACAGGTATCTGGGGGGAGAAACAGTCAGGGAAGAAAGTTAGAGACAATGCACAATGAACTTTATTCATATTCACGCCCTACATGGGCCAAATGCACTAGGTTAGATAACTGAGGTACAAGGGTAGGAGGAACAAGTGCTACATTAGTGTGTTATGTCTATGTATAGAAATGGTGAAACTAAGGTTGGGCAAAGTTTTGCATAGTTAGACAATGCCAAGCTGGTGAAAGTAGAAGCAACAATACCCTAGACAATTTACCATTAAAAATAGGCAGATATCTATCTATAATAACCAATATTGTAATCAGGTAAAATAACCACATTGGACAAAACCTTTATAGTGAAGGAAAATTTATGATCAAACATTAAAACCTAGGATTGGAATGCTCTTTCAGCACCAAGGACAGGTTAATAACCTATGATGCTCCAATTCAGCACCAAGGACAGCAACACCTACAGTCAAACCTTCCTATGGGCTACAAAGACTACTCTTCAGGCTTGAAAATATGGTCACAGTAGACATGTCTGTTCCAGAACCTACCCAATGCGTGGGTCCAGTGCGATGGCACGTGGACTCTCCATCTCCTCAGCGATCAGTGTTGTCCGGTACATGCCGTTCAGCCTGGCCACCTCGATCTGGTCCAGGTTACTCTCCACCCAGTAGATGTTCTTCCCCACCCAGTCTACAGCCAGACCCTCGGCTGTCGCCAGGCCAGTCTGGACTACAGGACGGATACTGGAGATACCTGCAACAATATTCTACTATTAGCCATCTTGAAATAAATACACAAGGGAAATGTTACTCAAGCAATTTTTAAACTTTCAGACATTTCAAGTAGCATCCAATACTTTTTGTCAGTGACTAACAGAAATGTCTGACAGTTTTCAAAATCTATCCAGTTGCTGGAGTAACAATTCCTTGTGTACCTGTATCTTATTGCCTGGATGTCTAACCTTCATTGACATATCCTTAAATAAATACTGTCTGCTTCAAGGACAGTTATTACAACTTTTGCTCAGATGTCGGTTAACAGTTCAAATATATGTGAGTGGAAAATACTAAAACACAGAATATACAGGTCCCAAATTAGTAAAGCAAGCGGAATAATAGTTACGACAATTGTAACTTATGTAAGTTGTCATTTTCTGATACAGTTGAGCATAAACTAATGGCCAACATGACAAGTTTGTATAAATTGTGAGTGGTGCTGGTAAAATTTGTCTGGTGCTGGTAATATGTAATGTTACCTGCCCCAGTCCTGTCATCATTCGGTATGGATTGACTGATAAAAGACAATGATTTCCTTACCTCCTGTAGAACTCATGTTCCCTTTGAAGATTTTATCCTCGACCACGTCAGTCCAGAAGAGTGAGTTAGTGGACAGGTCATAGTCGACTGCGATGGTGTTCCTCAGTCCCGGGACCAGCACGCGGTACTGGAAGTCTTTAGATGACAGGTCGATCCTTCGCAGCTCATGGCGGTTGGAGAAAACCACGTAGGGGGTGGCAGGATCTGAGGGGAAACAGACGACATCATCATTTAAAACACTGTACATTTTAATGATTGTTAACTGAACTCAAGAAGTATGCTATATACTTCTTTACTTTATTGTTTTTACTGCAAATGCTGGCACAATTCAGACTGAAGAAGTCTGCCAAATGGTATGAGAATAAAGTTTTAAGTTTCAAGATATCATCATCATTGCTGCATTTCAGTGCTTGACACCGAGTCTTTTACCTGTTGCTGTCTGTTGTCCCCCTTTCATTCCCAACCCATCTCTGCAAGTCCCGCTTGACCATTCTTTTAAATCATTACAGCTCAGGAAGAATATTTTAAGGATGAAAATAGAACATCCTGGAGAGAGATGCCAACACTCACCATACAATAATTTCTAACGCCAGCTAATAGTTGATTGATTGATTGACTGATAACAAGTAGAAAATAGGAAAACCAGTGCTCCTGTAAGTGTATTTGTCAGGTTCCAGTTCCCATGTAGATTTTTCCTTTCTGTGGGCATATCTTACTACCAAACAAGTGTTGGATACCAAACAACTCGTTAGGTTGCATTCTACAAAGGGAAAATAAGAAGACATCATACCAGTGCTCCTGCATGTGTAGTCGTCCGGTTCCAGCTGCCAGCCGTCCTGACACTCACATCGGTAAGACTTCCCCACAGGAGTACAGATCTGACTACAGATGCCCAGCTGTTCACACCACTTCACCTCCTCACACGTCTTGTTATCTGCGCCCAGTCGGAGATCCGAGGGACACAGGCACACCACACCTAGCAAAGGAAAATTCAGTGTAACTTTTTGTATACAATATTGTTTAATGAGGTATTGATTAGATGTTAAAGGTGCAAAGTTACTTCAATGATGTTTATTGTATAATGGCAAATGTTCAGAAGACAACTTATTTGAATGTAAGTGAATGTAAATAGTAGTCAATAATGTAATGTTTGTATTTCATAACGTGTGTAAGAGGACTCCAGGAAGAGTAGTTGTGTACTGTAACTAGTTGGAGGTTCCTTGGCATCTGTGTGGTGTAGTGGTAGATTATCAGACTGTCAAGCAAGCAGACCCAGGTTCAATCCCCAGGGTAGGACCCAGACATGTCCAGACATGCACCCAGACATTGTGCCCTTGGGAAAAGCACTTACACATATTTCCCCCTCAGTTAGAGGGATCCTGGGCCCTACTAGGATTTGGGCTGGCGTTAGGAAGGGCATCCAGCCGTAAAAAAATCTCAAAAGCCCAAAAAAGACTTGTACTTGATGCAAGCACGTCTAACCTTCAGTTTCGGGGGGAAAAAATTGATAGAGAGAGAAACAAACAAACAAAAGAACACACCCATGGGCCAGGGCTGACAGATGTGGCTACAACCACCGTTGTTGATGTCACAGTCCCGTATGTCGCACAGTTTCCCCTCATCTGAGCCGTCAGGACAGTCAGGCTTCTTGTTACAGAACTTGTCGGGGGACAGACAGATGGTGGTGTCGTTGGCACAGCTGCGGTTAGGGAGCTCACAGGTGTCCTTACAGTCCTTCTCGTCTGACCCGTCTTCACAGTCCTCCTCCTGGTCACAGCGCCAGTCCAGACTGATGCACTCCCCGCTCTTCTTACACTGGAACTCCTGCTCAGGGTCACACGGACGTTCACTGCCTGGAATGGAAACATTACTTTTATTTCTATTAGTCTTATTATTTATATTTAAATATCTGGGTAGCACCTACAACAATTTATTGATTTCCAAATGGCCCAGAAAACATCTTAGCATTTATTAACTTTTTTAAAGACTGTTATCATTCGGAAGTTTCCTTGCCTACATAAAATAGATGAGCCACTTTTTCTCCTACTAACAAAATGTCTTTATGGGGTGCAATAGGGAATCAAAAATGCAGTTGAGAAAAAAAATGGAACATATGCAACCAACGATTACTCTAAAAACTCCAAAGGCACAAATGTTTATAGAAATCCCATCCTTCAATTATACTTCTTTCAATGCTGATTTCAACCAATCTAATTGCATTACCAAATTGCTAAAATAAACTTGAGGTTGTCCCAGCCATTACCTGTACAGTTAAACTCATCAGACTTGTCCCTACAGTCTTACCTGTACAGTTAAACTCATCAGACTTGTCCATACAGTCTTACCTGTACAGTTAAACTCATCAGACTTGTCCATACAGTCTTACCTGTACAGTTAAACTCGTCAGACTTGTCCATACAGTCTTACCTGTACAGTTAAACTCGTCAGACTTGTCCATACAGTCCTCATCCTTGTCACATCTCCACCTAGCCAGGATACACTGTCCACTGTGACACTGGAACTCATCATCATCACAGGGAGCAGGGGGGTTGGTGCTCGCTGTAGGCAGAGATATATCTCAATCAATCCACTCTATTAAGTACTGAAAATACAATCTTTCAGTGGTAATGCTAAACACTTGGAACAGGGGGCAGCGTATGTAGGTATGGACAGAAAAAAAACTGTATAACTACTGAAAATACAATCTTTCAACACTGGTGTTAAACACTGGGAGCAGAGGGGTTGGTGTTCCCTGTACGTAGGGACAAAAAACAGAAGATAGCTACAGAAAAGCAAATATTTCAGTGCTGATTCTAGTAGTACCAGCCTGTGGAGGCTCTAGCCTGTTATTAAATTAACTGTCAACTGTTGGTTTTAACCCATAGTTCACAGTTCATATCCAATCCTGAGGACTGACCCTCTTTCCAGTAGTATGCAGTTGGGTGACTGATATCCGCCAAACTTTGAAACACAAAACACCAAATCTCCCCAGTCCTATAAACACATTTTGCTAGAAACAACATCCCTGAGTTTGTACACAAAAATCCATATGGGATGATTGTATAGAAATAAAGAAAAAACCATAGCATAGCATAATTTGAAAGCCTTTTCTCACCGCATGACTCTGGTTCGTCGCTGTGATCCTGACAGTCGTAGTCGCCGTCACAGACCCAGCGTTTGGAGATGCAGCGGCCGGTGTCCAGACACTTGTGCTGAGTCTCATTGTTACAGGAGTAGGTGCAGTCCTTCTCATCTGAGTTGTCCGTACAGTCATTGTCTGCAAGATACCATTTCAGAACTTAAAAATATGCACAGACAAGAACTAGAAGTTCTAGTTTTTATAAGATGTTTGTTGTCTAATTCCATCCCAATATGAGGACTGGTGGCAAACACACACAGTAAAGCAATACAGAAAACAGACAATTAAATTGTACACACATCAACGATCAACTCAGTCAAAGGTTTTCCAATGGGAGCATGTGATATAACCATGTTTTCAGCACCAGGGACAGGCCCATGTATTCATAGTCTTCACTATGGTTAGTGGTGTTTTGAGGCCTTGGGCACCAACTTGGGCTTGCCAGCCTTCTTGAGGGACAATGTTAGGTTGGACATGCCAGCTTGTGCTGTCATGTAAAGTAGCAGAAGTGAGTAATATACTATCTGCATATATCTATAGCAGTGGGATCAATTTCATTTTCTATGACCCAGTCAATACTACAGTTAACTTTTCATGATTAGTAACAATTTAGTGTCCGAATCTAGGGTATAGCAGTCAAATGTTATATTGTAATCCATTGTCCCTCTTTTTTATTTTCATGTTCCATGTTCTTGTAATTAGTCTCTGGGCATGAACTTGCAATAAACTTTCTTTTACAAACTTCTAACAACCTTATAAAGGTAGAATAGCTCACAACATTGTTACAATCAACACCCAAACCGGCAGTTTTTTGCAGCCCACATAGGGGCGTACCCGAGGGAGTCACGCACTCAAATACTGGCCCATAAACACATGCACAGACACCTACAGATTCTCTTTTTTCCCTGTTCCATCCCACAGTGGAACTCCTTACCCAGCCCGGTAGTGCCCGCCTTAGCCTTGGCCTCCTCTCCCCTCTCGTAATGGCACCCCTCACAGGGTTATTTGGGGGTACTCAAGAAGAAGAAGAAGAATGGATAATAAACAACCAACCCACCTGTGTCACACCTCCAGCTGGGGGAGATACAGCGGCCATTGTCACACTGGAACTGGGTAGGGTCACAGCTGGGGTGTTCTGCGGATCAAACAATGATACAAGAAAATCAGACACAGCTCTATATGTACAATGCTAGAAATCAGCCATTTCAAGCCAAAAAAAGCATGATAAGTAACTGTTATTATGTACATTGTATTACGTGTCAACTCAAGAAAAATTGTGCTGCTGTGAGTCATACAATAATAAACTCCAACATGATAGTGGCATATGTGTATCTCTAGTAAATCTATAATTTTACGAAAGTTATTGCAAAAATTAAGCAGGCATTGCTACATAAATGTAACTACTACATTGTGTTTGTACATGAATTTACCAAAAATTGAGCTAGGCTACATATATTTGTATTCTCTTAGTATGACAACATACCATATTGGTGTTAAACCAGGTAACATCTAAAATCATGATCCTTACCACCCAACAACAAAAATTCAGGAGAAAGAATGCAAACAGTTCTAACACATCAAACTCCACACAAGTTATACATAAAACCCAACACCATAGCACCACACCTCAATGTTCTCTACAGAACACTCTATTATATAAAACCCACCAAATTCTTCAACTCAGAATTGTTAACACTGTTATCAAGGGTAGAGACACCACAACACAGCCATTCCACCAAACCAGGAAAACAATGCAGCTATGAAGTTCAAAAAACGATCGAGTAATCCAACATATTTCATATTTTTGATGCAATTTTATTTTCACAAAGGATTATTTCTGAATCAAAACACAAAATTTGGTGTTGGACTACATGTACATCCCACTTTACACCACAACTACAGGAATCATCTAAAATCTCTCCTATTCACATACTTATGTAATATATGGCTTTTTCTTAGGCTCCATTGAACATTGTGGTTTGTGATCTTCCCATTTTATGCTAAGATAGACAAACTCTAAAATTCCATTGACGTCAAGTAGAATTTTTTAAAGTGGAAATTACAAGACAAAAACACTGTTGTCTGAACAGATTTTTCCATGTCTACCTTCATTTTGTTAAATCAATCCCAAAGACAAACTGTTAGACTAAGTGTTAATCAACATCTAGCTCTAAGTCTAAAGAAGTCTACAAAACATCCTTTCCAAACAGTTGGCAACTCTTTTATAATTACCTCCTTCCCTTTTTGCCTCTTCTTCTAAAGCATTTTTCATGTCATAATTAAGAAAAAAACATTAAAATTTTTCATTTTCAAACAGAAAAATTTTTCAGAATACAAATGACTCCACCTGGTCTAAGACAAAGCCACATGGTACATAATGTACTGTGGAGAGACTGGGAGGCTACATTTGAAAGGGAAAAACTCCATAGTTAGTGAGAAAATAACACAAACTTATCCAAATTCCTTCACCTTGGTATTCTGTGGGGAAGAAGACAGAGAGAGGACACAAGACTTAGTGTGGTGAAACTTAGAGGGGGGACCAGAAAAAATCACAGAGGATGAAATAAAAAAAACAATGTTTGTATTCTTCAAGACTAGAGGTATCGAAGAATTTCTTGTCTGAATAACAAAGTCGGCAGAAGAAATTCGAAAGAAAATGTATATATATAGATACAGTTTAGAAATCTTTGACATTTTGGCAATAAACCCTCTATGATTCTTTCTGGTCCATCCTTCAAGAGTCATAGTACATGTATGTGTGTGTATAATTCATATTCTACAATTTGATACGTGGTTACCGTACTATTCTTTTACTGACTACAACAAAATGTGCAGTTAAGAACTACAATCTTGTGTTCTTTCTAACTTAAAATTGAAATTTGTTTCCACAGCAATACAGTAAAAAAAATAAATGGAGATAGTTCTGTATATCTAATACTACAATTCAAAAAGCTGCATTTTTCTTCTAAAATCTGAAGCATACAAAATTTTCAGTTTTGTGATACAAATTGTCTAATCTACAATGTTCTAGACTGCTAGGAAAAGATGGGCAAAACCTTTGTATGCAAAATGAATGTGGTTCTACATTTACTGTTACATTTCATAACAGTTATTAACGCTAAAGGACTGACAAAGGACTGACTCACCACAGCTGCTTGGTTCGTCTGACATGTCTCCACAGTCGTTGTCTCTGTCACAAACCCACATCTCAGGGATACAGCGACTACTGTTACAGTGGAACTGGCCTGGACCACACGTACGCTCTAGGAGAACAGATCATTGACTTTATCACCAGATACTGTTACCTTGCTGTGTATACAATGTATGTAGTAAAAGAGAACAACTGTTAAGTTCCAAGTGTCTGTTTTGAGAAAAGTCTTGTAACATTACGTTCTTAAGCATTGTGATATACATGTAAATGTTCAAACAGGTGATTTTACTTACTACAGCATTTTACCTGTATCTGTACAATGGCAAGTACAGATTGGTAGAGATACTGATTGCAGTCTGTAAATTCTAAGATATATGCTCAAAAGACATTCAGAACTTTCTCAACTTTGATTCATGTCACTTTAGATTAATGGATTGACTGAAATTTAGGATTTGTAAATAAGAAACCACCCTAAACCATTTACAGTATCCTGAAGAGTCTCTGTTGACAAAGACTGTGATTGGGATCTCTACCAGTACACCGAAACATTGAGTAAGAGAACCACTGACCATTACAGCCGAGTTCATCCTCCCCTGTCTCCCCACAGTCCTTGTCTCCGTCACACACCCAGCGGTCGGGGATACAGCGACTGCTGTTACACCTGAACTGGTTAGGCTGACACGTGTGGCCGGCTGGAAACATCAATTAAAAAGAATGTAAGTGATCTTGATCCAGTTTTACATCTTTTTACATCAGTTTAGTTTACAGTATTTACAGGTTCATTGTACAAGGGAAATTCTGCTCTTTTCTGCTTTTTTTCACAATAAACAGTGGAATACAGCTTAACGTTCTGTCCTAAAGACTGTGATCCTTTTTTGTAGCATGTGACAACAGTAATGATTCGATCTCCCAATGGTTCAGAAGCAGGATCACTAACCACAGGACTACATGTACATTTCTGTAATAAATCATTCTTGCATTCCATTGTGAGAGGTAAAGGTAGTGCCGTGGCCTTGTACACGTCACAGGGCCAGTGAGTTATGACCCAGAACAGTAAGAGTTTGTGTTTAAGATACCAGATCTGTGAGTACTCACTGCAGGCAGCTGGGAGTTCATCAGACCCATCCTGACAGTCCCTGTCCCCGTCACACTTCCACCGCTCAGGGATACACTGTCCACTGGCACAGGCAAACTCTGTAGAGCTGCACTGGGGCGATTTGGTGTAGTTGGCTATGTCTGTGGAAAAATAATTTTAATTGATAAACTACACTGTGCTTGTGTGTATTTGTGTGTCTATGCACTAACCGCACACAAACACACCTGTCCTTGGTGCTGAACACCATCCACATACAGGTAAACACTCCAGTGCCTGGTGCTGAGCACTAACCGCACACAAACACCCCTGTCCTTGATGCTGAATGCCATTCACATACAGGTTAACACTGGTGCTGAGCACTAGCCACACACAAACGCCCCTGTCCTTTGTGCTGAATGCCATCCACATACAGGTTAACACTGGTGCTAAGCACTAGCCACACACAAACACTCCTGTCCTTGGTGCTGAATGCCATCCACATACAGGTAAACACTCCTGTACCTGGTGCTGAGCACTAACTACATACAAACGCACCTGTCCTTGGTGCTGAACGCCATCCATATATACAGTGTACAGGTAAACACTCCTGTACCTGGTGCTGAGTACTAGTGCACCCCTGTCCTTGGTGGTAAATGCCATCCATACACAGGTTAACACTCCTGTACCTTGTGCTGAGCACTAACCTTACAAAAAATGCGCCTGTCCTTGGTGCTGAATGCCATCCACATACAGGTAAACACTCTGGGAACTGGTGCTAGTGTTAGTGTGTTGTACAGTTACTTCATGATTAAGGGACTGACTGACAGAGCTAAAGGACAAGTCTCAAGCAATGGTCTTTTTTTCTACAAAATAGAGGCTACTAATATTGTTATGTGACACAAAATGTTCTTCTCCATCTTGATCTCTTTTGTTCTGTGCTATTCTCCATTCTGTTCTGTCCAGAATGTCCTATTCTTTTCTATTCTGTTCTGTCGTGTTCTACCTGGAAACTTCTGTTCTGTCCAGAATGTTCTCTAATTCTGTTCTATTCTGTGCGACTGACCTTCACAGTTGTTGCCGTCCTCCATGAACTGTTGCCCATCAGGACAGCTGCACACAGGCTTGTTCCCAGGAGTGATGAGGCACAGAGACGGGCACACTTTGACGTTAGAGGCACAAGCATTCGAACCTGGAAAAAAAAAACAATTTTCGTGACTATACAGTCAAACAATATAGGTTTGCAAGTCAGATAAAGTGACTGGTAGTAACAGTTGCAATTTCAATAGCAAATAAATGATCTCAGATACAAAATGCAACAATTGACATACTACTAATACACAGCATTCTTGTAACAGCACACATACAAGAAAAAAAGCACTATGCCTGTGTTACATTTGTTCAATGACTGCCAAGTTCACAACTTACCTGTCTGAAGACTTTTACTGTAGATTCAGGCAGCCGTATGCTACTACAAATACAGTAACCAGTAACTACAATGGTCTCCAACTTCAAAATAGTGAGGTTCTTCCCTATGTGTCAAGTCTTGAGTAGCTTGTACTCCATACTCACTGCACAAAACTGGTGTGTTGCGCCTAAAGGCAGTCTACTAGTTGTGAAAGAAAGAAAGAAACAAACAAACTTTACTTACCAGTCTGCAGACTCTTGCTGTAGACTCTGATCTCAAACAGAGGAGCCTGGTCAGACTTGATGTGTGTGATGCTGCTGTTGTCATTCAGGTCTAACATCTTGATCTCCCCTGTGCGGAACTCTGTCCAGTAGATGTGGTTCTCGTGTAGAGCCAGGCCAAACGGATGGATCAGCACCTCTCCCTTATACACAGCCTGGGGACAATCAACAGTAAACATGATATCATTTTTGTGTTCAGCTCTATTTTCTACTGCCTTCTTGCTCAGACACCATGTGTTAAAAACCATTAGTCACATCATTCAAATCTAAAATTTTTGTTATCACCATAGTAGAGTGTTGAATCTCTTTGAACTCTAGCAAAAGACTAAATGTGAGCAGGAAGAGATTTGTCCCTATTAAAAGAGATTTCATAATCATTAAAAGAAAATTTCTAGATCCTTTCTTAACACCTAAGGTTGGGAATCAAAGGTGCAAGGACAAATTGCAATTTTGATTGTGACAAACATTCTTCTACCATTGTTGGATGGTACAGAATACAGGATAGCTAGGGTCTGACATTTTTTTCTCCAATTCTGAAGTTTACTGTCAGGAATTTCATGATTGTCCATCATACAGTTCTATGTGAATGTCAAAAACCAACTCACCCCAACATCCCCCTTCTTCAGGTCCACCCTCATGATCTTGTCGTAGAAGGCGTCTGCCCAGTACAGTTTGCTGTTGACGTGGTCCAGGGCCAGTCCGTTGGGCCAGAGGATAGCGGTGTTGTCCCTGTTAATCAGGTCCTTACGGTTGGTTCCGTCCATCCAAGCTTGCTCAATCTTAGCAAACTTCTCATCTGTGATGTCATCCACCCAGTCAGACCAGTACATCATTCTGCAATACAATCATTATGGCATCCATGAATGAAAGTTCTAAACAAGAACTATGTGCAGCTCCAGATGTTTTACTGAGGGGTGACTGCGGTGTGATAGATTTTGTTTAGTTTGAGGAATGAATACACCCTGCTCAATCTTAGCAAACTTCTCGTCGGTGATGTCATCCACCCAGTCAGACCAGTACATCATTCTGTAGGATAAAGGCTGTGACTTTAGACAGACATCCACAGTATAATTTTGATCAGAAGTCCATTCTCTGCAACTAGTTCTAGTTTGGTAACATTTGGCAAGTACGTGTACAATAGGTCACTGAAAAATAGAAGGCTTACAAGCAAAAATTTCAACCTCATATCAAAGGTAGAGTTAGTCTATAACATATATATATGGGAATTTTATTGAAGGTCCAAAAATCTTCCTGATCTGACTTCCGTACACTTATTTAGGATGGTAAAGCTCCAACATACCACTAAGAAAAACATTGAATTTGAAGATGCTACCTTTACACATGCTACACATTCAACGTTCAACTATATCTTCTTCTGTACTATGTTAAATAGTTGTTGCCATACATGTACTTTGTATCTTTGCAATGAAGTTCTTTACCCAATAGCATGCTTCTATTAGCTTATATATGCTTCATACATGTAAGATCGTCAGGTACAGCCCTTTCAACCTACCCAGAGGTGGGGTCCACTACAATAGACCTGGGGTGGGTCATGTTTCCTGAAATCAGTGTCCGTCTGTGGGTCCCGTCCAGACGTGACACACTGATCGTGTTCAGTCCATCGTCAGTCCAGTACAGGTTGCCTCCGATCCAGTCCACCGCAACTCCCTCGCAGTTGTTCAAACCTGGGAAATATAATCATTTCAGCATGTCACTCACTGCAAATACTTTAAACTCTTTAGTTTGTTTAACTGCTGAACCTTTAAAAAGGCCCAAATACATCACTAAAGAATTGAGAATCAAAAATGCCATAATAAAAAATTCAATATTTTCCTTACTCTCCAAGCAGAGGTTTAGGCTTCACCTTATTTTTTACTTTTTTCTGTGCGTTTTTGTTTGCCTTTCTTTTTTGTACTGGAATCTTTTTTCACACTGGGTGACAAATGGTAACTGACTAGCAAATGAATACTGCCTGGCCAACTTGTCTTTGTAGCCACTGAAAGATCTGCTTGGAGATTTTTCTTGCCTCCTAAAAATGGCAATGTGGAAAAAAATGCCTGCAAATCCCAGATTGCAGGTGGGTATTTCTAGCCCTGAAAATCAAATCATCATGTTAAAGTCAATACAACAAATTGCACCACCGCAAACCAATGACAGTGGCAGGACACACAGAGATCACACACTAAACCTTCAGCACTCCAACCTACAGCACACCAGGAGAATGTACCTTAGAGTGGAAATCAAGCAGTTCATGCTTTGTTCTCCCTGGGCCATTCATAATGTATTGTACTCTCCAATAATATGCCAACATCATTGAACCCCTAGCCTGATTTTTTCAGTTGCAAAATTGCAGGTTGCTGAATTTTTTCTTCTGCAATATTGAAAATGTCAACAAAATGCAGACTGCATTGGGTATTTCTAACACTGTAAATATAACTTGGAGAGCTCAAGTGGTAAATGATGGCCCAGGTAGTAAACAAAAACAAAGCAGGCCAAACTTCAAGCACAGGTTGAAGTACAAACTGCACACAGCACTCCCTGTAGACAGAACAGTAAGTTAGGACCAGCACCTACAAAAGACATGGTGGAAAGACAGGGACCTCCCTAAAGAATAGTATAACAGTACCAATCTGTAATACAAGCACTGTTATACTATTGCTGATGTTCAACAATAGGGTTTTCTACTGAATGTGTCAGACTTCTTTTGTGTCTGAAAAGTCAAAATGCTAGAGTTTTACCCCTAGCACCATGATCATAGTCTGCATTTCTGGGCAGATCCCTGAAAAATGTCAAGCCAAAGCACTCTGTTTAACTTCTCCTGCTCTTAGCCATGTTCTTAAAACAATCTTGACTTGGGTTAAAAACAGTGTCGGAAGCCAAACGCAAAGCTGTGTGACTGTGAGGACACACAGTGAATGTGGGATGAAGAACAAAAAAAATGAAAATCAAATGTCTCATTTTTTTGTCAACTACTTATCAGGCTGTATCTGAACAATTTCTTGGAAATAGTTCCTTTCTTTCTTGTTCAAAGAATACACAAAATTGGCATTTGAGGAATATTTAATGTAGAAACTTGTTCTTTCTTTGAAATTGCTTAGCTTTTAACCCTAACAGAAACATGTCAAGATAAAACTTTGGCCATGACAGCATTTTATCTGAAAGAAACAAACAAACTACAAGGACACCAGTGAAGATTAGGACATAGATGGGAAGCTCTTCACTCAAAAACTTCACATCAGACTTACCACCCTTCACGTAATCACCCTCCTCATTGTAAAACGCTGTAAGAACAAGAATAGTCAATTCTTACATAATCTAGAGAGTTCAAATGATGACTTGCTTCCCCACGCACTGCTTCTAGGACTACATAATGCATGTCTGCAACCAGCACACCAGAAAACCCACTGCACACTGTTTCTTTCACAGGCTTCCATAACCATTATAAAGCTGGTTAATTTTGAGCAAAATGTGCCATAGTGGAAGGATAATTATATGATAACAATCTGATAACAATGCCAAAACCTACATCTAAACTCAAAGATCTATAGAAAAAAGCCTATAGGCTCCCTTAGACTAATATGTTTTTCACCTTTTAAGTAAAACATTTGAACAAACTGGCCAAACTACCTCCCACCCCCAATCCTCCTTTAGAGTAGGTTGGTTGGGTCAAATTTGTTTCAAATTTAACTCAAATTTGATTTGATTTGTATAGTCAGGTAGGCGTGGTCTAACTGTGATCAGACTGCTCCCATGCGTTGGATGGTGGTTGGGAGAAAGTTCTGAATGGGTGACAGGGGCTTTGGCTTGGAACCTTTCCTTCCCTTTCACACTCTGTCACTACAACCATAGACAATGAGAAATGAAACAACTTACTGGAGTTGACCAGTATCTGGTGGTCCTCTCCCGTGATCTTCTGCCGCCCGATCCTGAACTGTGTCGGGTCGGAGAAGTAGATGTAGGACTCGGCTGCGTGGAAGTCGAAGGCACGAGGGTTGTCCAGGTGTTCTATGGGTACCATCTTGTCCGTGTAGTCATCTGGTGTGAGAGAGATCCCTTTGATGACGCCTGGACGGCTCTTACTGTAGACCAGGAAAGTCTCATCTTTGGAAGCTGGAACAAAAACATATCGGAGGTTAGCATGCTTGAGTTGCTTTTTTTCCCACGAGTTAAGAAAACTTGGGGAAAACTGTAAGTTGCTAAAATCATTTGACAAAAGTTCAAGATTTTATACACTTTACTAGATTTTAAACATGATTTTAAACTTGAAAAACATTGATCATACCTCATTTTATTTAGTGGAATAATTTAAGCAGTAACTTGTTAGCAAATGACATTTCACACAAATTTTAAAAGGTTAGCATAATTATGATAACAATAAGATTCCCTTCACGTAAAAAATTATACATTTCAAAACTAGTAAAGAATCAACAAATGATTGCCAATGAGTTAAACATTTTGTCAAAAACAATAACATCAATTTACTGACTGTCAAAAGTACAATGATTAATTTCATGTAACACCTTGGACAGAAATTGATGGTCTTAACAAGTGGTTCAAAATGAAGCATCTGTGAATACTGCTGTAGCACTTTGACTGGATCTTACCTTCACATTTTCCATCAGGCTTGAGAGAGAAGCCAGGTCGACATCTGCAGATTTTCTTGTCCTTACTCCCAGCCAGCAGACAGATGTCCTGACACTGGTTAGACATGCAGGCATGGTCGGCTGAAAGGAAGGAAAGGGCATGTTCTTTAAGACTCATAGTATTGGTACAAAGAAAACAAAAAACCTCATGTTGATATGAGTCACTACCAGCTCTGCCATGTGTTAAAAAAAATAACTCTGTAAGTAACAGGTTCACATTATGTGACTGCTACATTGTACATCATATCCAGTGTTCCTAGGTTTTAACTAAGCAATTTTCATCTTGTATTCACTGAAATAAAGATGATTTTACCTCCTTCCCCCCACTTTAAACTTGCAAAAGTGACTAAAAACCACTCTGACATGATAAAATCATAATGCAGATAACAAGACAGATAATAATATAGTTACTTACTTACCACTGTGATTTTCTAACATGATGTAATTTTTTTTTAAATAGATCTTCTGGCACTGTTGTTATTACTGAGGAATTAACTTATTCTACATTTTGAGGCAACACACAGTACACAAAAAGTACAACATTCTACTTACGGATGACAGGCTGTACTACAGAGTGTAACACCTTCAGGGACCCGGCGTGGTTAAAGTCTGTTGCCAGGGTAACGATGGGAGCGGAGGTGTTCCAGCGGTCCACACGGATGATGGTGTCCTCGTGCCAGTCCGTGGCGTACAGGTAACGCTCGAACACTGTGATGCCGTACAGGTGCTCCACCTAGTGTTGGGATAGGGTATTGCAGCATTTAGTGTCTAACTCTAGAAGTGCACAGATACATGCAGGCTGCGGAGACTGAAGTGTGTTTAAAATAAATGGATTTCTGAATCGTGTATGTTATTCTTTTTTCACCTGTGATGAAAAGTTTTTCTTATCTATGACCTACAGTTCAAGTGTGAAGAGAGCTTTTGCACTTTTTTTCACACAAGTGAAATTATTACAATTGCAGAATTAACACTGCTTGAACACTAGGCTGCTATACAATTGCTCTCTCCACATGGAACTAAGCTAACAGTTAGTATTCAAAGCAGTCGAATTTAAGATGGCTATTAGGCAATGCTGTGACTGAAAAAAATGTACAGGTACAAAGTAGAACATTACTCGAAGTGTATTCAGACAACATTTTGAATCTTAAAACTTACCATTGGTCCCTGTGCAATTGTTCTCCTGTTTTGTCCATTGTAGTCCACACTCTCAATGTAGTTGAGGTAGGCATCCACCCAGTAGAGAGTCTGTGTCACGATGTCCAGGGCTATGCCGTGGGGAAGGACGATTTTACTGGTGACAATCTGAGACCGGTTGGTGCCGTCCATGTGGGCTTTCTCAATCCGCGGTGTGGAGCCGTAGTCAGAGAGAAACATCAACCTGAGAAAATAACAAGTGAAATTAAACATCTGTTGTGATCTGACTGTATATTACTCTTGTCTACCAGGCAGCATGATATGTTGAATATATGCAGGTCTTTGCAAGAAAATAAGCTCTGATCATTGATAATTCAGGATTAAGGCAACCAGAAAATTTTCAATTTGGGTTTCTTCCTCCACAGATGTTATCCAACTGTTGGTTTATTTAGCCTGTAACTAGAATATGATCCTACTAGAATATGATGTACTAAGTCTTAATAAACACATAGATGTGTGGCGTCTGTGTGGCGTCGTGTGGTATAGTGGTAGGGCTTTCGGCCCGGGACCCAAGGGCCCTGGGTTCAAATCCACCTACTACATACCCCGATGTTGTGCCCTTGGGAAAGGCACTTAACACACATTTCCTCATACAGCCAGTCTCTGAAAGCTGTCAAAAAACTTTAGAGTTTGACGTTAGGAAGAGCATCCAGTCAGTAAAAACCTTGCTTCAAAAAAAGTCTTGCACAGGCTTGCTGTTGTGCACCTCAGCATGCTGAGGGGCAAAATGACAAGCCCAAACATGCACCTGTGCAAGCACGTCTATACCCCCGATTCGGGGAATCAATAGACGTAAAACTCGGATAAGAAGAAGATAGATGGATCTTTTCACTGTTTTTTTATCTACACTAAGCAAGGAAAGACATCCTAATCCAGTTTTAACTCACTGAAGAGCTAATCTCCCACTGGTCGTGACAAAGAAGACAGGCGCTATGTACAGTATTTACAGGTTCATTGTACCAGAGAAATTCCCCCTAGCTCTTTTCGACAAGCACAATGAACAGTGGACCATCCTAAAGGACTGCAACCTTTTACAGTAGCATGCATGTCGGGTGAGCGACAACAGCCGGGATTCGAACTCCCAACTCCTTGGTCTTGAGGCAGGGTTGCCAACCACTTGACTACAATGTACTCATGGGCTGAAAACATTTAAGCAAGCCTTACCCCCGTGTGGGGTCGAGTGCAATGCCTCGTGGGTTGGCGATTCTGTCCTCGATCACAGTGACACAAACACGCCCCTCCTTGTTACACGCAAACACTCGGTCAGCCTCATCATCCGTGAAGTACATGTTACCTGTCAGCCAATCATACGCCATCTGCTCAACATCTGAAAAAAGATTAAATCAATAGAATTTAGACAAAACTTCTTAGGATTGATTTTTAAATTATGTTGCCAAATTTCCTTTCAATGTTTTCAACTCATATGTCACATTCTTATTTCTTTCAATTAACTAGACCATTGTAGAACTGCTAAAAACTGCCATGCAGGGAGCCAACAAAATTTGGTCCATGTGGACTGGGTGATCACGATGGACAGGATTCTTGTGTTAATGGCAAAAATTATCTATAAGGGCACCAAAAAATGGTAACATTGAACCATATGTGTTCCATATGTAGAGGTGGTCTCTTGCACTGTTTGAGTGCATATCTTAAGTTGAATATACACCATTTTTTTTGCTCAAGAAAATTACAGTATAATTTCAGACATACACAACATATCTAGAATTCAAATTGAAACATGTAGTAGCAGCAAGTTCTACTCACGGTGGACACTTGAAGTCAGCTTCTGCACCTGTGCTCCGGCCTGGGTAAAGTTACTTCTCTGAACACATCGCAGGCTGCTCTTGGACACGTCTTCCTCCACCTAGCGGAGAACAAACAAACTGCAGTTTCCCCAAATCCTTAGGATTTTAGACAGCCCCTAACTATACGTGGGTGATGTCCTTCTCAATGCGTAAGAAAGAAACTAACTAAACGTACAATGTGCCTGACAGTTACTATCATTCTAAATTTTACACTGTTCTGGTAAAGAAAACTCTTAGTACATATACATGCATGTCTTTCTTCACTGAGTAAGAAATACTAACGGTATACATTGTATAATCTGCAATCTATGATTTCTTTCCTCTGGTATACAAAATTACCTACGTTTGATCAAATGAGGCTTCAACCATTATTGTGGCACAATATTTATTCTTGGGAAACTCCGTACCTGAACCCAGCAGATTTTGTTATCAACCAGAGAGATGTCCATGGCCATGGCTCCAGTTGTGATGAGCTCCTTGCCGGGTACAGCTGTGCCGTTCAGGTACAGCATGTTCAGCCGCTGTCGGTTGGCTACAACCAGCACTGCACTGTCGTCTGGGGGTTGGGAACACAAACATACATTGATTATCATACATATACCAGGAGGAGATTGTAAAAAACTTTGTTGCACAATTGTACAATATTCAATGTATGGCACCTACTGCTATCGACTTTGTATAAAATTGGAGTGTAAAAACTGAGAGGGAAATGAAAAAAAGACATGACACTGGTCATTATCAAGTTGAACTTAGTATTTTATGAATCTTCATGGTGCAATGTCTGGAAGCTACATACTTCAACTTGAACAAGTACTAGATATACATGTACAGCTTGGTTTTCTAAAAAGTTTAATTTTGTTGTGACAAATCATTAGTTGTGACAAATCTACATGTACAGCAACCAGCATTATATTTATGAAAGTACAGTACATGTTGGCTAAATGTGGATCCAAATAAAGTCAAAGTCATGGCAATACGTTTTGCAACATTGTTTAATATATGTATAACATGCTGAGCTGTATCTTACTGTTCTGAGCCCTGCATGTTTTCTTGTCAGGTAGTAAGGTGTACCCAGATGCACAGGAGCAGGTGTAAGATCCCTCTGTGTTCACACACAGCTGATCACAGTAGCCAGGGAGCTCGCATTCATTCAGGTCTGGGAGAAAGAACAATTCATTTCACATGATAAGCAAATAAAGCACCATCTATAGTCTTTGTCATAGTATATGAATGCTCAGATAGAGTGCATCAGCTTGGTACAAGGCACCAACAATCAGCTAGCAGATCTATACAAATGTATAATTAAATCAAAATCTACTGATTGATTCATTGTACTTCTAGCCTTTCATTCAAGATTGTACAGTCAAAGTAGTTTTTGGATATTAGTTCATACAGTTAAAATGGATTTCTTTACTACTATCATAATGATAAAAACAAGATTGTGTAATTTGTTTAACATCCTACTTGTATTATGTGAAAAAAGACTTTGACTGAATTGAAGTTGCCGAATTTGTTGACATTTGCTTTAGACTTTTACAATAACAATTTAGGAGGACTGCACAGGGCATTTCTTTAGTAATGTAGCAACTGCAAACTATTCAACATATTATGACATACTGACCTTTACAAGTTCTGTCTGGACTGACCACGTAACCATTTCTGCAGAAGCAGACCCGGCCTGCACTCGACACAGTACAGGCCTCCTGGCAGTCTCCCCTTCCATTGGCACACAGTCGGGGTAATGCTGGAATCACACATTCAACAGGATATCAAACTTAAAGCCAAAGTTTATCACTAGACTAGATATAAAGTATGATATATTTTTTCTGTAAAGTTATTAAAAAAGTAGAGCAGTCTATGTCTGTGTCCTCCCATTCCTATCTCTATATATCTATCTCTGTCAGTGCATATGCGTGTAGATGTTTAGTGGCTAGTATCTGGGCAGTTTTGTACAAAATTCATGAGTACTTCAGTATAGTGAAAAATTGAGGTGTTCTCTGAGTTAAAGAAATTTGACTAGAGTTAATTGGAGAACAGTTTAATTTTTCACTAGATATAGATTACCAACTCACAAAAACTTTCATGTCAATATTTCAGTGTTTCCTTATGTCAGTTTGCAAACCTTTTCTATGCTCAACAAGAAAGTCAGTACTTTGTATCAACCTAAGAGCAAGCTGTTCTGCATCAGCTACATGTAAAACTGTAGCCAAACCCAGTGTATAGTAGAGTGGATTCATTCCTCAAGCTAACCGACATCTTGCACATGCAGTTGTCCCTCAGTAAGACATTTGGAGCCGCATAGTTCCCATATAAAACTTTTATTCAGCTTGTCACACAGCATCCATCCAAACCCATACAGAAAGAAAGAAAAAGACGAAACTCACTGGTACATTGCGGCCCTTCATCGTCACCACTAGGGCAGTCAGGGTTGTTGTCACACAGAGTGTCATAGTGAACACACGTCTCTGTACACGGGCCTCCACCATCTGGACACTGCTGCAGGCAGCGGTAGTGGTTGGCAGGACACTGGTAACTCTGCAACTCAGGACCTGCCGAGCACACATTGTAGTACAACATACATACAGTAAGTACAGTACAATTTGGCAGCATTAGAACGCGCAAAGTAGTAGTTAGTAGTAGTAGTATCCAGTCTTTCATTATGTACAGTACTGGTCACTAGTACAGTAAAATCTGTACTGTAAAGTTTACAATTTTTTTCCTCTGAAAGTACAGCGCAAAACATTATGTGGCACCCAAACTAAACTACAACTGAAAACTACCTCCTCAATGTCCTTTTCTTTTTGTACTTCCTATTATAATGTTCAGGTCATTTCCATCACTGATACTTAAAAGTTTACAGATTTAACAATAGTAAAGGTTTAAGGAATTATTGTCTTTCATATCAGATTTTAGGTCCTTTGAAAAGAGGATTAGGGAATGTTGGGGAATTTTGTTCGCCTTACTTAACACGAAAAGGGACACATACTAAGAACAACAGGAATTCACACTTCTAAGCTAACAAAATGCTAAAACTACTGCAACACAAGCAAAAGAAACATAATATACCAGATTAGATGAACATAAAATTAAAAATAGATAAATCAAAGACAGGTATATTATCATCAATAAGGTCAAAGAAAGGCACCGAATAAGCTTTTAAAAAAACAAGAAAATGATTTCAATAGGATACAGCAATAGTCTAGACTGAATGATAGAAGGCATCAAGAGGTTGAAATTAGCTTCTATTCTAAATGTCCGAAAGACTAGCTAGAATAAGATAGGACTTGTTCTTTAGGTAATAATCATTTGTAGCTTTTGCTTGTGAAATGATGCTGGTATCAGAAACAGGGTATTATCTAGACAGCAAAAAAGCCCAACCAACAAGCTGAAGCCATATACTTCCTTCAACTTAGAGAAAGTACGGAAAGACAGGTTTTCAGCAGTTCAGTTGCTTGCTATTCCCAAATATAAACCAACAAATTTTGCTCAAAATTTTGCTCTAGGGCGTTTGGTTGTAAAGTTCCCAAAAGCTGGTTACCAAAAGATAGCTTAATTGATTGATTGACTGATTGATTGTTTGATAGTAGATAATACCCTGATTACGCAGCAATCCTTTGTTTTGTAAATAATGTAATCCTTTTAAAAGAACATCAGTAGGAGTTGCCTAATTTTTTCTTCAATGCTTGCAGATATTGATGGTGAAATTTGATGGTCTCCAGAAACAAATTCGCCTCACAAATGTGCAAATTTCGCATATAGAACAAGTCCTATGTTGCTACTTTCAACCCTTGACATTCTCTCAATAGCAAGATGACACCTTACCCAAGCCAGAGGTACCTATGGTTCCAGGATAGGTGGAAGGAATGAGAAGGCAAAGAAGAAGTTGGGTCCAAACGTACGCACACACCATGATGCTACTATTGTAGACAAACGTTCCAGGTTAGTAAAAAAAAAGAAAAACAAAGAATAATCTCGCAACGCAAAACTGGGCTAGCATCTATCAGGGTAAACTACAAGGGGAAGCAAGGCAGGATGTGCCTAAGCTAACAGGTTTGACTACTCAAAATAAAGTTATCTCGCTAGTACTACTACAGAAAAGATCTAAGCATACAATGTATCTCTATCTATCATAGATGCTAACATAACTCCCAAGCTTGACAGTCACAGCAACAGGTAAAACATAAGAAAGTCAACTAGCTAGTCATGCTGGAGAAAAGATTTGAGTACACCCTTTCTTCTAGATGTCTAATCTGGAAGCAATTCCAACATTTTAAGCTACCACGCTACAAAGCCTGACAGTCACAACAATGAAAAAGCATTGACTAAGATTGACTATTCGACAACACAGTGACATCACTGCAAGACACATCTACTTAGGATATTTTTTAGGAGTTTTGAAAAAGGAGTCACAAGAAACTTTGAAAAACATTTCAACAAAAGATCATAATTATGTTTTTATTTGCTGCATTGACTGTTCCCACCTTTGAAGTGCACAAGAAACAATGTCTGACTCAATGGTTTTTGAACAGTTTTAGCATGATCCATACTTCCTAACATCTGAGCAGTACAGGTAAAATTTGTCTGGTATAGGTAATCTTCAATGTTACCTGTAGCAGTGCACGTATGAAGAAATAAGTATATGTATTTCGTTCCCTGCCTAGAATCCCCTAGTCTTTCCCACAACACTTTATTTGATGGGTCCATGAGACCGTCAGAAGGAAAAAGGATTTTGTAGGGATTGTCAACGCTGTAAACATAACGGAAAGGCCGTCCATACAAATCCGGCCAGATCTTAGCCTGACGTCAAAACTCAGGAAGACAGGATTTTCAGATCAACCTTGACTTTGGTGGGGACGTTTAAGGGAAAAGTGGTGAGAAACAGAGCAATTATAACTTGATTGGGAAATCTTTCTGGTTCAGCGCACACTTCTCTGGAAAGAAACTGGTTGAACATGCTCATAAACAAAATAATAATTATGTCAATCTATCATGTTGATTGTTTATAGTCATTAAAAATATGTAAATGAATAACAATGAATTTACAGTCTGTACATTTAATTAGAAGTCATAAGTTGCCTTTATTAGAAATAAAAGTTATCATCTACTCAAAAGCTAGCAATAAAAAATTGAACCTATTTTTAAGTACAAATTTCGAACTACTCACTGATGACTTACATGTACAATACACCTATACATCTTGGCATGTTTCTGAAGTTGAAGTTCTTCACAGACTGCCATTCAAGAATCTTGACTATCCCTTTCAGACTTTTTAATTGCAGTCTCAAAAGGTAATGTTCAAAATGTGAACAGTAAAGCTACGAACATCATGTACTTTAGAAGACAATTTCACAGACGGCCATTCAAAGAATCTCCACTGCATCTTTTGAAGACTCTTAAATTACAGTCTCACGAGGTAATGTTCAGAAAGTGAACAGTGAAACTATGAGCGTCGTGTACTTACAGATGTCGGGAGATTCGTCGCTACCATCGGTACAATCTTCCTCCCCGTCACATCGCCAACCGTTCGTGATGCACGTCAGACCGTCAAGACACGCAAACTGCCCCGGTCCGCACGTCTTATCCGCTGTGGCACACAAACACGACAAAAACAGAGCGTGAACCATGAGAAGCAGCATGCTGGACACTCCTCATGCTGGAAACTACTGAATTAAACAATGACCTTGGAACATTCCTGTTCCTGTATAGTTATAGGCGATACCAATTCTATTACAGTACTCTATTTGCATATTACTTTCAAAATGTGACAACAAATTTTCTTGCTGTATGAGTGTGTGTTTCTTAACCTTTCCAGTCCAAAAATGAAATAATTTTTGTTTCTAAAACTAACTTATGTCATCTATCAAGCATAATAATAAAGGGTTAATGCACTGCCCCGAGTTGTATATGGTGTCATAACTGCATGAGCAGCTGCCATAACCACCGAATAAACCACCGTGTGAGCGAAGCGAACGAGGTGGTTTATGAGGTGGTTATGGCAGCTGCCCATGCAGTTATGACACCATATACAACGAGGAAAAGGCAGTGCATTAAAATTATTATCATATAGCCTATCCAAACTGTCAATCAACACAATTCCTGTTTGAAATACAACAGCTTTAATATATAAAATATATACATAAAAATACATTCGAATATATTATACGCTTTAAAACAAATATGGATAATTTCATTTAATGCAAATTGTAGTTTAAATGAAGCTAAACAAAAAAGTTTATTGGACAGAAAAATGCTACAAAGGTTTACAGAAAGAGTCGCATGCCCCTATACCTAGCCTGTATATACAAGCTCTCGGCTGGACGTTAATGACCCCCACCCCAGCCTGTATATACAAGCTCTCGGCTGGACGTTAATGACCCCCACCCCAAGAGCTTGTGGCAGAATAGCTGTAAGTCGGGCGGCCCGTTCCCTTTCCTGGAGTCACCAATAGGAAGCCAGTATTAGGAATTAATGTGGGAACCGACCGGGCCATCACGTGGTACGGCGCCAGGCAGCCGGAGAAGGGCGGAGTACCGGGCGGGGACGAAAAATTTGATCGACTGCGGGCAGCAGAAAAATGGCTGCGACTAGCCCGAAACCGAGTTTTTGTGCATTCTGGAGTCAGTGTGTGTGGACTTTGGGAGTCCCTGGCCCCTAGAGCCGCTTCAGGAAAATGCGATAAAATTTTTCGTTAAACAGAGAAACGACGTGTTTGCGTGTCTTCCTACCGGCTATGAGAAGACCGAGATCGTGAAACAGTGCAGAGCAAACGAAAACGGCGGGTTGACGACATTCTTGTGCTTTGTTGACGATGTTGACTCCTGTCAAATTATCGATACTGGAATCTAAAATGTTACTGGGTTCTCCTAAGCGGGAGTTGTTTATTGTTTTGATCGGTAAAATACGCTAGAAATTAATTACTTTGTGGGTAAAAGAAAACTCACGGCGAGGGCGAGGTCCACACTTCCGGGTTCAGCGACGACAAAATGACGCAAAAAACGCTAACAATCCGCATAGAAGTATATAATTTCCCGACTGATTCTTGAAACTATGCATTTCTTCACTAGAATATCGATGTGTGGTTGTGGAAAATAGCATTTTAGCGCTTATATCGAAGAAAGAAAAGTTGTTTACACGCGCGTCGGCTCGGTCAATCTTCAATACCGCCGGCGCTGCCGGAAGCGGACGCTTCAACTAATCAGAGATGCGAAATGTGGACATAGCCGAGTGAAAATCGTGACGTAAATACAAATCCGTGGATGAGATTCTTTTCTCTCGGTGTGACTCCCATTTCCCACGAGGAAGTTCCAGAAACTTTGGAAAATAGAAACAGATTCGACTCGCGAGCGGGTGGCCGCGCCTTCCTCGGCCAAACTTCAATTTTGGGACATGAAAGGCGCGCCGACGTCCATCACTGGTTAGCGACCGACAGGCCCATAGCAACCATCTCTGTTGGGTGCCGCACCGTCTGAGGGCCGTTCGTGACGTTTGCATCTCATTAACCATATATGGCAGACCAGGGCCGTCGACACACCGCCAGCTTTACGCGTGCTTGACATCTACTCTCCAAGCAGAGGTTGGTGGGGGAAGATCGTCACCGTTTTATATATGCCTCGTCGAGGCATATATAAAACGGTGACGATCTTCCCCCACCAACCTCTGCTTGGAGAGTACTTGACATCAAGCTTTTGGGGGTCGGCAACCTAGGGCGGCGGCCGCCAGGAGCGCGATTTACAACCTAGGGCGGCGGCCGCCAGGAGCGCGATTTAGTCAGGCTACCCCTATACCCTATAACATAATGGTATCAGCCATAACACGACATGTGCTGTTATTCCGCCATAACACCACATGTGCTGTTATCGGGAAATAACAGCACGGGTATCCGGGCCTCTGATTGGTCCACGCCGTCCGGCTATATGATAATAAGTATTATAGTTGTAAGTCATTGATTAGCACTGATACACAAATTGGAAGGTTAACGCAACAAATAACATGTGGTATATTAGTAATGCCTTCAACAAATGATGTTATGATGTTTGGTTTGTTTGCTGCATGTTCTAACTGAAGACCGATGATGATAATGAATATCTGGTAACAAAACATAGATGTAAAGTTTAACAATATTAGGAAAAAAAACACAAGTAAGTCAAGTTTGTCAAACATTCCGCATGCCCCATTCAAGCAGTTCCTGAACATGCCGGCATGCTGAAAATGTTTAGTAATAATGCAACAGACACAGCAACAAACAAACAAACAAACAAACAAAACTGTTCTGTTAAAACAAACAATGCTGTTAGAAAAAGGTTAAAGACAAACACAATAATTGAATTGAATGAGTAAGTAACAATGCCAATGCAGATCTTGAGTTTTAAATTGATATTTTGTGACACATGCTCCATTTTTCTCATCGCGAAAATGACAGAATGCTGAAAGTTAAAATGAAAGGTAAAATGTCGGTTAAAACAAGTTAGGAGACAGTTGTACTGATTAGATGAAGTGGGGCAAAAACTGCTTCATTTTCAACTTACTGTAGAGTGCAGAAGAGAGGGTATTCAAGAGGAAAACTGACAAAACAAAATGTAACCATTTCTGATCGGCTTACACTTGAGATGAATTAGACTGATGTATAGAAAAAATAGCAAAAAAATTTCTCTTTTTCCTTCAAAAGACCCTTTCTACACTCTATTGAAGAACAAAAGGGAACAAAATCAGTCATGAGTATGAGTTGGAACACAAAGATTAGGCAGACACAGGTGGGGTCAGGAATAAAACCCAGGAGCTGGCAGCCAAGCGCCACCAGAGCCACTCACGGCAGTCTGTCTCATCACTGCGATCTCCGTCGCCATTGTTGCAGTCGTAATCGTCGTCACACACCCAGCCAGCGGGGATACAGCGCTTGTTCTCACACTGAAACTGGTTACTCCTGCATGGCTCCGGCTGGGGCTGTGCTAGAGGGTCTGAACAGGGGAAAAATGAGGTTAGGTATCGTGATGGCAAAACCTGCAAGAATAAAGGTTATAGTAAAGCTTAGCCTGGATGCCAGACCAGGGCTCTAGCATTAATGCATTGTAAGTTATGCAAGGTAATTCAGAAATACCCCAAATGCATAATCTTAATCCAATCACCCACTATGCTTGACTCTGAATTAGGGTGGTCCTTATAACATTATATGACAAATAACAATTAAAACAGCTGATTATGTCTTATCGACTCTATATAAGGTACTTAGTAATTCTTCTAATATTTAACTTTTATTCCAGTACTCCAGGAAGACTAGCTGTCCATCACTGAAGCTAAAGGAAATCAATGAAGTAACAAGTATCGAGTGCTTGAGCAGAGTCAAACCTTGAGCAAGACCCTACTCCATTATTGATTGCAGTGGAGATATCCCCCAGCTTATGCAAAGGCCAAATCCCTTCAGTCAAGAAGCTAGCCAGTAGCAATATCCCTAGCTTGGCTGTAAGTCAAAACGTGATCAATGTAGGAAAATACTGTAATCAGATTTTTTTGCGGTAAGTTTATATTCACGGTTTTCGCACAGTCACTTCTGTGCCACAAATATGTCATTACCACAAACAAATAATTCCGTGGATTAGTTTTTTCTTTCTCAGTGTCCTTTCTTTATGTTATGTGTTGATGCGTATTTACAATGTACGTGAACTGGAATTTTTAAAAATCAAAAAAAGAATAATTTGCCAACTTTCTTTCTTCTGCACCTGCCACCACCACGAACATATAGTACTAGTTCCGCAAACATGTCCATTTTACTCAGACCATGAAATTTATTTACTCAGACCATGAAAGTGATTTACAGTATTTTCCCAGACTTAATTTATTGCAGCTACTGCTAGGTGTCGAAAAGATCAACCCTTCAAGGATACAGTCCCACCCACCTGTCCAACTTATACTTAGAAGGTTTCTTAATTTTTGTGTCCATTACCTATGAGTATGACCTACTCCTGACCTCAATCTCAACAAAATCAATACAGAAATATTTCAAAGTAACATTCTCCCAACTGACCTCATTTTAGAGTCTCCTTGGATCAGTCAAGTCAAAGGTTTTGCAGCTATGAATTACAATACATAGACAAAGGCTTCTGAGATTTTACATAACTATAAGACTACTTATTACATCTCGAGAAAGTATCTTAGTGTACTGGTACAAGCTGTTACCAACTTTGAATTTAATATCATATCACCTTTAAAAAATAAAGTCATAGCAAACTAAACATAGCTTTTCCAACTTTCTTCATCCAAACAAATACTAGTAAAAATATACCCTCTTTAGCAGAGACATCTGTGCTGCCAAACCACACTTGGCACATTATTTATTGAGAGCCTATATGGGGAGTAATGGAATACAATTCCACAAAAAGTCAAAATTCATGGCAGTCATTTCAATTTATTTTATGGTAAATTTAGAAACATTACTGGACTGACGTCCTACCTGGCCATAGATGCTACTCTACTCTTTTACTACTAATACTAGAGTAAAAGTTAACACAATACATTTTATTCAAGGACTCATTGATTATACCAAGTACACTGAATTAGAACTTTAGATCACTTGATTTACATGTACAAATCACAATAAGAATTCCGAGACTCCATACCTCCATGAAATATGGGCTTGATATGTAAATGTAAATTTCCTCTTTAATTATACAAATTACCTCTGCATTAACATGATATATGCATCGTGATGTATGCTAACTTTTGATTAACTTACAGATGTCCCAATTATGACATTCCCATTATTCACCATTAAGAAATCATAGAATTTTTGCATAAATTATGCAAATTAGGTCATCATTTGCATAATTAGTATCTGTCTGCCATAGGTTACATACATTACATGTATGAAAGTAGTATAATGTAAAACACTGTAATCATAGAATTTCCTGATTAATTATGCAAATAAAGTCCTCATTTGCATAATTTGCATTTAATCATGTACATCTCTCTCTCAGCTACCTACACACCAAAAATCATGAAAATACGTTGTTCCTATCTGGACTTATTGGCTTTTAAACATTTCGCCAGAAAGTGCCCTGCAGTTCCAGAACAAGCTGCTAGGGGGACCAAACTCACGCCACTTATTTCTGACAGGATAAGCTATCTATCACCAAAAAGTCAAGACCATAGCTTGTTCAGGACAAAAGATACAAAAACCGGAAGTTCTGCTGCAGTACCAAGGTCATCCACCAGGAGGCCCATATTTGACCTTGACCTTTGTCTTTCCAAGACTTACCAGCACACCAAATATCATCGCAATCCATAAAAGCGTTCTGAAGTTATGCTGACCACAAAGTTGCGGAAACACACACAGACAGACACACACACAGACACACAGACACACAGACAGACAGACAGACATACAGACAGACACGCCAAAAACAATACCTCCATTTTTCATGGAGGTAAAAAGTGATTCTGCCTTCCAGAAAAGCAGGCACCCAGACCCCCTCATTTGGCCGCCTAAAGTTGAGTGACAGGCAGAGCCTGTGCCTGGTACTTCCTGGTACACAGTGGTACCAGGCCGTCACCTCCTGACATACCAGCATCACACTGTTTAAAGTTCCAGTAACAGCTGCCACACACAGGGGGAGGCATCAAACAGTAATGTATGGCTTCCAGATGAACTGTTGAAAGCTCGAGAAGCACTCAAGGCTCCGACGTACTTGAAACATCGCCATGGTTTGAAGTTCACCGTCTACTTCAAGAGCTCTTATCTTCACGTTTACCATAAGGAATACCTTCTTGAAGAAAAACATGATAGCGTCTTGAATAACATGAGACAAGAAACTATACAGAAGTCAAGTATATGTTGTGGATACAGGGAGAGGACAGACTGTTCTACTCTTTCTAAACATTGCCAGACTAGACTGTACTTTGGCAAATTAAGTAACTAAGGCAAGGGGCCTTCAGAGTCGATTTTTCTCCTTAACACTTGAGTTTCAAATGAAGATGTTTATCTTTATAACAAGGTACTGTTTAGGGTACCATAAGCCTGATTACACTGTATATTCAAGAGTACAATTAGCTGCTATTACATGTGCAGTATCTCAACCTTTAGAGTACCACATCTCAAAGTCTCACAGGTACAGGGGTAAAGTCAATGGCTTTTAAGCCATTAAAAGACACAAAGTAAAGCAGCAACTAAACAGGATTCCACGTAGCTGCTTCAGGCAAGGGCATTGCCCAGCCTAATGATCATGAATAGCTTATTCAGCATGGACTTTTAACGACTGTCACACCTGTTAAAATTATGCCTAATCAACAGGACTGGTGACAACAAAGCGTAATGCTTGAAAAATTTCAAGGTCTCCATACAAGAAATGTTTAACATTTTTCACTAAAAGCTTCTTTCAACAATAAGCTCAAGCTCTAATCCAGCATAAGCCAACCTCCCACTTTCTTTCTTTTCTTCCAAACTGTTTGAGTCTTTCCCACCCTTTGCTGGTGTTTTAAGTGACTAACAAGCGCCTGAGGTCACCTTAGGTCCTTTATGTTACTCTAGTGTGCCGCCCCATTCAGAACAAAGGACTTCCATGGCCTTGGGGCATTCATACTTTACTGTTGTCACTTAGCTACTACCCAGTGCTTGATGAGTCAGGTTTGAATGGTTTAACAATGAGTGGAACTGGGTGTCATCAGAGGTTACTGAGCAGACAGTGATTATGATGAAAACTTCAGTTGGCAACTTATTGGGTGTGCCATATAACATTTCCGGCAAACGCAAGCAAAAAGTCAAATAATATTTGCAAAGACTGTCCTTGCGTAGAGGGGATGCCATCTTGCAAACCAATTTGCTTCTTCCTGACAACATATTGGCTGTGTCATATAATATTTCCTGCAAATGTAACTTAAAATGGACTAATTATACAATATTGAAATAATTTGTGAAAAAAACCAACAGCTTCTATAATTGGATGACTATCCTTGCAAAGATGAGCCACCATCTTGCAAATTAATTTCTGTCTTGCTGGCCTTGAAGAGTCCCCAAGGTCTCAAAATGAGCAATGCTACCATGTTACATAATGTCAGTTGTCACTTAATATTCCGTACATACTTCCTAAGAGGTGTGCTATCTGATATGCAATATTTTTACAATATGCGAAGTGTTATCATCCTCTTTGATGTATATTACTTGCAGCAACCGAATTTCTTACAATCTCAAATCAATGATTATCACATGGGCTATATTTTCATGTATATTTTGTATAGATAACATTAACAAATGTTGGCATTGCAGCAAAAAGATACATTGTAACAAGCTAAAATGAATACAACATGAAATAAAGGGTTCAGGAATTCATCATTCAGTTCTCAACTGTTCTTGACAAGATATTCCAAGAAGAGGTTAATCTCTAAGTATTCAGTTGATCTTTCAGACAGCATTTTGCCGACAGCTATGTCTGTACCTCCACCATGAGTGGCATTTCGCATACTCAATTAGGTAAGTAGCTCCCAGGCATACTTCAGGAATGTGAAGATTGCTGCCCATGATTTGGACACCTTTTTTGTAACACGTGGGTCTCAATCAACCTGCAACCTATAATTTTTTCCCATAAACATAACGTGGGTGTTCTATTGAACAAGGCACAGCAATAAAAATTGTCTTGCTTTAACCATCACCTATGAAACATAAAACTTATAATCATTATCATTCTAATTCTTGTTATTTAAATAAACAATTATAGCAATTGTTCTGAACCGTTTTGGTATAAGTAAAATTTGTCTGGTACAGGTAGTTTTCAATGCTACATGTACCTGTACCAGTGCAGGTATATAGAAAAAAAGTATTTTGAGCCCTGAAGGCATATCTGCTTGATCACAAAGACACAAGGGCAAAAGTGATATTTCTTAAGCTTATTTGACTTTGAGCTCCTCAACGGCTCTAATATTTGGAAAAAGCCATTTATACTTTATAAGCAATATTAAACTCTACATGGGG